TCCCTGGACGACTTTCTGTCTCTATCCTTGCTTCGTTTTCTATCTTTAGAGCGATCTCTGGATTTTCTATCTCTTGACTTACCTCTAGACCGGCTACGGTGCCGACTAGTACGTCTTCTTGATCTGTAAAAAAAGTTACCCATAGTTACGAAAACTTACGACCATTTCAAAAGTAGATACAAGTGTATTTCAACCTCGGGTAAGAAACGTTGTACAAACTAGAAAAATTCACCGACTCACTTGCTTGTTGATCTTGATCTACGTCTTGACCTTGATCTTTTCCTCGAAGAGGATCGCCTCCTTGATCTTGACTTTGATCTGTGTTTGCGATCGCGAGACTTGGATCTTCTCTTAGGAGATGGTGACCTGCGTCTTCTAGATCTTGATCTTCTCCTAGATCTTGATCTTGACCGGGATCTCCTTCTTCTACCCCTTGATCTAGAGCGCGATCTTCTTGAGGTTCGTTTGTCCTTGTTTGTAAAGAAATTAACCAAAATTAGTCTTGTGTGTAACAGATAAAAATAGAATGGTTTTATCAAAGGTGGTTACATATGCGTTTGTTATAATAAGCAATTCTATCAAAGTGTCAAAACCAGGAAAAATCACCGTCCAAAACAATGATGAAACATTTTTGCATTTGAATATTCAGATATAAACAAATCTTACCTTGGTCAACATGCCAATAACAGGTTCTATAGAAGCCGTAATCATATTTTGTGCTTCTTTAAACCTTGACATAGCTTCTTCGATCTCCTTTTGTGCATCTTCATTGCTTTTAGCTTGAGGCTTCACAATAGGCTGTGTTGCATGCTGTATTTCAATTGATTTACCATTTAGCTCAGTACCATTCAGTTTTAGAGCATTTATGACACTTGTTTGATCTGCAAAATGCAGTTTATTAGATAAATCTATATATTTCAAGTACAATGTCGCTATAGAATATGATCATCAAAAACCTCGTAACTGGAGAAAAATTGTACTATTAGGGCCTCCTAATATTAAAGAACTGGCATCATATTTGTCACCTAAATGGCCGATTTACCTAAAAACGGATTTTGGCAGAGAACTCGAAAATTTGATTTCTGCTTTCTTGTGATTACAAACTCGGTGCACCAGGGTACTTTGGGATACTGGTATCAAAAATATAAATAAAATGTCGCAAAACCATATTTAACGTAGGGCTTCCTGTTGATCCCATCTAAAAATCATGGTCGGCGCAACCGTTCTCGATGGAGATTGCAGATATACAGTAATGAACAAAAGTATATAGACAAATTAATATTGTGCTGTATTTCTTATTTAACTTGTTTTATTAACACACCAACCTGTATACATAGTTCGTTATAGCATAATACTCACTGATACATAAATAAATTCATTAGACTCCCTTCAATAAAAAATTAATTGAAAACAACTGGAACTATGAAGGACAAAAATATATAGACAAAACAATTATAGAAAAAAGAAGCAAAGATCATTGAATTATATAAGACCAACCATGTTTGTGTTAATATTTTGTAGCATAACCATTATTATCAATCACCACCTGGCATCGTCTCGGCATAGATTGTAGAAGTTTCTTGATATAAGATTCATCAATCTGTCTCCACTTTTGCTTTAAAGCGGCAAAAAGTTCATCCTTGTTTGAATAATTTTTATCTCATATTTGCTTATCTAAGTATTCCCACAGATTTTCAATGGGGTTTATATTGGGAGACTGTGAAGGCCATTTGAGAACTGGTATTTTTTCATCCAAAGAATTTCTTTGCGAGATTTGAAGTGTGCTTGGGGTCATTATCTTGCTGGAAGATTGATCTTAAGGGCATATTGTCTTCCACATGACATGCTTTAGTATGTCTGTGTATACAAACTTATCCATAATTCATCTATTCTATGTAAAGGTCTCATCCCAAACCCCGAAAAGCACCCCTAAACCATAACAGACCCGCCTCCATGTTTGACAGTGGGCAAATTGTACTCGGGGTTCAATCTTTGTCCACTAGGACGTCCAACGTAATGAACCCCATCTTCTGATGCAAACATATTGAACTTGGATTCGTCAATCTTCCAGTCACAGATGCTTCAATCAAGATGCAACCGTGCAAATTGTAATCGGTCCTTACGGTTTTTCCTCGAGATTAGCGGCTTCTTACTCGAGCGACGTGCAAATAACTTCAAATCATTTAATCTTCTACTTATAGTTTTCGTAGAAACACTGGCAATTCCTTTTGTCTCACTTTCGGTTTTTATTTGTCTTGGGGTTTTAAACGGATCTTTGGACGAAATTACTTTTATTAATCTAAATGATCTAAAATTCAGTTTTCTAGGCAGACCTCTTCTCTTAGAGGCTTCCAAGATACCTTTTTGTTTATATTTGTTCAATATTGCCCAAACTGCTTTACGCTTCAGCTTCAATTTTTTGGCAATGTCGACTTGACGTTGACCATCTTTGTATAACTCAATGATCTTAGTTTTCACATCGAAAGAAATTTCTGGACCACGCGGCATGGTCTTAAAATCACTCAATTTATTCCACAATACTTGATGAACACAAACTAATGTTGAAAAGAATTTGTCTACATATTTTTGTCCCTCATAAAAAAAGCTTATATTCAGACTTGTATTGTGTTCATTGCAGATAATGTAAAAACCAGGAATTTAGTTTTTCTACTTATAACGCATTTGTTTGTGGAGCAATGAAGTATGAATTCGTTTTCTAAAGGTATTTAGTAGATAGTCATATTTGTCTATATACTTTTGTCCATTACTGTACATGTTTTCAAAAATTTTGTTGGAGCTGCATTAAGTTCCTCAGTGGAGAATTTCAATTTTCAAATCCTGTTTTTACAAGCAAAAAAGGTCAAAAAATACTAAAATGACGCCAACATTGATCATATCCAATTTATCTAAGAAATTTCTATTGATCAATAATTATGTTTCTTTTATGTATCATATGCATATGATATTGAAATATGCCTACATATGAATAATTATTTTTGCTTACATTAACGAAACAGTAACAAATACCTTATGTGAGTTATTCTCGTTTTTTCATACAATCTTATTTATATTATCTATTTACATTTGGCATTATGGTATTCAATTTCTCAGAATCTCACTTAAATTCATGCTTTGGGCCGCCGGCACCCCTGACATTATCGATAGCAGGGATTTTTGAATATTTTCATCAATACTACATCTTTCAACTTTACTGTCAAGTATAAATGAATTTATCACTAGGTTTCTTAGTATACAAATATTCTGGAGGTCGCTTTTTGAAATGAGAGAAAAGAACAACTGAGAGAAAGTAGGTTTGGTTTTCTTGCCTTTCACCAAATAATCCTCTGGAGAAAAAGTGGGGAAGTCTCGTGCCTACAGATGAAGTTAACCTTGTGATCGAATGTTTAATGATATGAAAAAACCAGGAACATATTATTCAACAAGGAATACATCTGTCAGAATTTGATATCATTCCCCAAGGGAGAGAACCACACCCAGTTTCTTTCAGTGATGCTACTCTCTCATTTTCAAGAATAAGGGTCCTGGTGAGAATATGTTAATTAAATATTATTAATCAGAAATATTCTTGCAAATTTATACTTCTAAATACCAATTCACAACTCCAACAGCCAAACTGTGACTACCATTAGTCTCAGTTATTAAAACATGTGTAACATATATTTAATTGCATATAGATTAAAAATACTAGAGTCAATTACCTGTGAACTCGACTAGCATATGAGTTGCTTCAGACTCATCAGCCCCCTTTTTACATGTTCTCAAATATTTAACCTCACCAGCTTTACTGAAAAATTCAATAAAATCATCATTGGACCATGAGGGATCTACATTTAAAATCAAAACAGTTCTTCTAGTTTCTTCAATCTTAGCTCCGTCATATGTGGAAGGCAATGGGGGATAAGGAGGTAATTCTTCTTGTTCCAACTTTAAATCTTTGGTCATGATACATTGTTCAGTTGTACCAATGCCATATGTCACATTTTGCACATGAGGGGGTAACTTTGGGTCACCTAAAATATTGACACAGTTAGATTAAGGGAGCCGAGCACCAACTAAGGGGATTCGAAAACAACTTTGTAGATAAATTATTGCTTACAGAAGCTCGGTTGAAATTGCTAAGTACTGCGACAATTGCTAAAGTATTAGGTTTGTATAACTTACCCATGGTCAATCCAGGCACGACAGTACCATTTTTGGTCATTTCTAATGCATAGTATTCATCTGGAATGTCCCCATTTGATACAGGTATAACTATCAGTGCCCTATCAATGAAGACTGTATTGGTCATATGTTGGGCTATACCAACAGTAGAAGTATCTGTGAACTTGATATAGCATATTCTAGATTGCACTGGGCAAGAAACGTCTCTAATAGTGGGGTATAAACGAATATCTTCGATCTTACCAAGAAAGCCGAAAAGCGTGTGCATTTGATCCTTGGTCGCCTGGGGTGCTATGTTGGTGACCTGCACCACTTTCGTACTTCCTACAGCCATGGTTGAAGCTGAAAGTGATTAAAAAATCACATTTAAACGGCTTTAAAATAAGAAATATTTGTGTGCGTGTACACAACAAGCGCAAACATAACCACACTTATGAGCACAGACACAGACCGAAGAATAAGAGGAGCACAAAACATAAAATAATAGGCAAATAACGCTTACTCAGTCGCAGTCACAGATGCAGTGTTCTGTGCACAGTTACAAAAATGCACATTAGATTAGACAGTTTCGTAACCGATAGAAATGTGAACTAGAGTGTCATATTAAAAGCAAGTCTACACCATATAAATATTTTTCTTTTACCATTTTCTCTTCTACGTGAAGTGAATATATGTGTATAAATAAGTAGATTCCTTAATAAAACCATTTTATTGATTTATCATATTTTTTATTCTCTCAAAATGAGAAATTGACTGTCTGCTGTGGGTGAGAAAATGGCCAACGACGCTCCATATGTTTGAGCTTAGTACTAGGACAATAAACTGTCCATGTTAATTTTGGAAGTAGAGAATGACGATTCTTACAGATGATGTCAAATTGTTATGTCATTTTAAAAATATATAACCAAAACAGAATAAATTCAAATTTAAAACTAAATATTTCTTCTTTACCTGATTGTGGTATTGCATCATAGATCATCCAACCTTTTAGTACATCATGTTAGGAGCCAAATTTGGGAAATGGGTAAACGATAATATTGTGTTCTTAGTAGGAATACCATTGATCATAGGAGTTCATTATGGTTGGTCTAAACTTCAACAAAATCCGAATTTGGTGCCACCAGATCGACAGAAGAAAGAACCTGTACTGGAAGTATGTTTTTTGTTTGTATTCGATTTAAAAAACTAGTCTATTGTAGTGGAGATTTATGCAATGTCTCTAAACTATACCTCATGATATAATAGTTGAATGTAACTTTATTTCGTGCGGTATCTTCTGGAGACAGCTGGGAAGTGGTCTCATTCCAATTCACACAATCATCTAAATCTTGAATATCAATCCACTGTTATTCCCTCTGACAGTGAAAACATTTATAATAAAGCTTATAACTGTTGCTGTTTTCAAATCGTGTAATAGCAGTCAGCCTTCTGTATTAAATTTGTCTTTTGCACATTTATTTTAATTTATAATTAACCTTATGTCGATCATATGACTCTGTGACCTATGTGATGTTTCACATGAGATCATTCGAATGATGAGTTCTAATAATCTTGTAGATATAGATGATATATTCAAAACACTGACAATATTGTGCTTGTATTTCAGATATACAGAAATATCAAAAATATATTACTTGGACAGAGAGCACCAGCAGTAACAGTTAAAAAATAAATTTATAGTCCCTGATATTATGTACATATGTTATTTTAGTAGCTATTGGCTAATTGTAATTAGTCTGTTTGTTTTCAAATTCAATAAAAATACTGTTTGTTGACAAGCAATTTTTGTCCAACCATACCAACATAATCTATTAATATACCAGGTCAAATTAAGTCTAAATAATTTGGCTCAACATGTTGCACTTTTTCTACTTTCACTCATAGATGTATCCTCAAACAAATGGAATACTTTATTTTGTAAAAAATGAGTGAACAACACGTTTCAATATTATATACCCTACAAATAGTTACTTGACAGAACAAAAAAACATTCACATTCTTTGTTTTTCGCAGTTGTCAATTGAGCATCATTGACTGCAATCATGTTTGACATATTTAGCACAAAAAAATTGCTAGAGGTAGCTACTGCTATACAAGAGAAAATTGGACAAACGCAGGTATATTTTTCATAATTTTCATAATATTTTATCAATTTACAGAGAACATTTTGAAATGTGGCTTAATTGTGGGATAACTCTTTGTCGGACTGACCTTTTATCTGCAATGTTGCAGAAGATTCCTATTAATAAAATTATCAATTTACTTGTCCATCTAAGCTTGTATAATAAATTGTAGCCTGTATTGGACTATAAATTTTTTTTAAACTCTGCTTGTAGTTGTTTGCTCAGATATGCCTCAGCAAATTGAAATCTCACTTCACAGTCACACCTCCAAACAATATGAGAGCTTCTAAAGACAAAAGTTCTGGAAAGGCAAGATATTTTGTAATATTCATGTGGTATTATAAGAGTTAAATAGTGAAGGCTGAGGATTTTTTACTGGCTATTTACTGGAGACGATTTTCTTAAATAGGACCTAGTGACTAAAACTAAAATTTTAGGCTCTATTTATTCCCAGACCAAACATATAGGGTACGGTGAAAAAATTGTCAAGATCAGGGAAACCGAACCTGCTGCAGTCTTTGAGCCTTTATTTTTGCATCACCTCTAGAAACAGCCCTGAAAATTTGTCAAATGATGGCTTTTACGGTGACCTTGGCAAGGATGTTCACACCATGCCGTAGCTAAACGAGAAAATTTCGTAGTATTTTCGCGGCCAAAAGTACCAAAAGATCATGGTAAATCTCAGTTTCAAGATCATAAGCGAATGATCTGATTTTTTTTCAGCCGACGGTTTTTCCCGATGACTGACCAGAGCGTTCAAGGTCAAATTAAAAAGTAGAGTGCCTCATTTAGGAAAATTGTCCTCATCTTCATTGGACCTTCAAGATCAAATACAAGGTCACAACTGAATATCCAAAGGAAAATCCCGAACCTCTATAATTTTACTTTTACCATACTCCTTGAATATTCCCAAATATCTAGCCGTTCCGCGATAGCGAAATAACGATACAAATTATCACTGCCTACGTGTAAGCAGGTGAAAACCATTTCGAAGTAGGACGACACTCTTCAATAACTGCTAGATGGGACTGACCAAAATCGCTTATATATGATCATGGAGGTGGAAACCTTGCCCTGGAATGTACGAGTTGTGTTGCCAAGCGAACCAATGATGCAATGTTGCAGAATTTGTGGCGATCCTGACCTTTCATTTCGACCCAAAACGGAGTGCCGTTAGGACTGATCCGGAATCGTTCCTAAACAGATTCTACACAATTCACAATTCAAAAATGTGTATGCCCAAAAGAAAAATACTATGGGTTTGTCCAAAACGGACGCAGGAAAGTAAACGCATATCAAAACAAGAACGATTGATATTCAAATCAAGTTGGGTACTTTATTTTGATGGTTCATTTATACCATTTATGTATGAAAAATAATATCGCTCAAATGTTGACCACGACTGGATTTACAGACGTCCACGCGATGGTCGAAATTTTCAATGACATTTTGCAACATGGTCGGTTCTATGGCATTTATCTCGGCAATGATGTTGTTTTTGAGTTCTTGGAGGGTGGCTGGTTTGTTGACGTAGACTTTGCTTTTCAAATATCCCCATAAAAAGAAGTCCAAGGGAGTCAAATCGCACGATCTTGGTGGCCATGGCACATTTCCTCTGCGCGAAATCACTCGATCACCGAAGAAGGACTGCAATCGATGGATATTGACGTTGGTTGTGTGGCATGTTGCACCGTCTTGTTGGAAATAAACATCGTCCATATCCATTCCTTCAAGTTGCGGCAAAAAATAGTCCTCTATCATCACGTATATCGCTCAGAATTGACGGTAACGGCGTCCCCGGCCGCATTTTCGAAAAAGTAAGGTCCGATGATGCCTTTTGACCACAATGCACACCACACAGTCACTTTTTGAGGATGCATCGGCTGCTCTTGATACTCACAGGGATTTTCGTTCGCCCAGATGCGGCAGTTTTGCTTGTTTACCGTCCCATTCAAAGTGAAATGCGCTTCGTCGCTGAACATGATTTTTGATGAAAAATTGGCATCAATTTGGCGGTGTTCAAGGAGCCAATCTGAGAACGTTCGGCGCGAAAAATGGTCGGCCCGACGCAGCTCTTATGTCAATTGGATCTTGTAGGCGTGTACATTCAAATCCTTGTGGAGAATGCGGAGCAAACTGGTTCTCGAAATGCCCAATTCTTGGGATCGACGCGTTGTTGATTGTTTCGGATCGTCTCTCACACTCTCCTTCACAACAGCAATATTTTCCGGTGTGCGAACGCTCCTTGGCCGGCCAGAGCCTGGCAGATTTCCCACAGAACCTGTTGCCGCGAATTTACGCACCAGACGACCGATGGTTGATTCGTTTGGGCGGTTGTTGCGACCGAAATGTTCACCAAGCGCGCGAAACGTGTTTTTATTTTTGCACCATTTTTGTAGTGCTCTTGAATAACTTTAATGCGGTCTTCAATCGAATACGACTCCATAGCGATCAATGGTAAACATTCAACTAACAAAATGACATGTCGGTGACAGAAAACAAAGATGGCCTCTATGTCGAATTGACGTTTACTTTCCTGCGTCCCTATTGGACAACCCTTTATTTATAACTGACGCATATTTTCAATATGCACCTTAATTCAAGGAATTGGTGTAACATATGAATTGGATTGATCGTGGGGGAAAGGAGGTCTTTGATTTGTAAGAGGAACAGTGTCGGGGCCAAGTCCGATCTCTGGGGAACACCCGCGTTGATGATGGAAGGAGAGGGGAACCCAGCCTACAAGGACGTTCGAAAAAAATGTGTAGTGTTTTTCACAATCTCACGTAAACTTTTAGCTCGTACGATAATTAAAAAAATCTTAAGGGGTACGCATTAGATTGTATGGATAGGTGAAAAATAGATAATTTTTTATTTATTCATAAGCCGAGGTATAAACCATTGTTAAAGAAAAGTATACCAGCTAACTAAACTTAATTATAAAAAAAATATACTATTACAAAGATTTTTATAAACTGCGAAGAATTCATGTGCAATGTGCAATATTAAAAAGGAACAATGCATTTTTATTTAATTACAGCAATTTTCAATATAGTCCACGTTATCCAGTAGCATGCTTCCTATTTTTAACTCTCTAGCTTACAACCGCAACAGCTGGAAGAAGCTCTTCGAAATTAAAGGTAATTGAAATATCTTGGAACTTCTCAGAAGGCTGAAAATTTTGAAACACTAAAACCGTCTTTCGCTATGGATCTGGGTTAATAAAAATTTTCGGAAAAAGTAGTGGCAAGTAGATTGACTGGGTACTTTCCAAGCATTAAATCCCGTTTCACGTTAATGAATCGGGCAACTATTCAAAATGGTTGTAGAAATAATATCTTCTGCGTTGGGATGTTTCACAGGCCAAAGATTGGGCATCTTATTCAGAATATTTCACTTTGAGGCAGAAGCCAGGGCGGGGCATATGTCCCCCTTGCCCCAACCCCCCCCCCCAATGGGCGCCCATGGTGGATCCGTCAAAATTATGTGTCCTTGGCCTATATCGGGAATTTTAAAATATTGCCAGATAAACAGAGTTGTCATTCTACCGGAATTGATACTCATAAAAAAGACATGGCTAATTTCAAATGTTCCATGTGTTAAGAATAGCCTTGCAAAGTAAAAAAGGTTGAGCTCCGTAATGTTTTTGAATATGTCCTAACCTGAATCAATCAGAAATAATAAAAAGATGTTCGATTACCCGTAAAAATGTTCAGACAGTTGTAAAGCATACAAAAACAAACTTTAGGTCAATCTGAAAGCTATTTTAATTCTTTCTCATAATACTACTGCCATTTGAACGATTTTCAAAAATGAAGTAGCATTACCTACAGTGATGTGAATTGATTTGTTGTAGACATGCAAAACAAGAAACATTTATATGAATTTCTGAAATTTTCGTATTCAGTTATCAATATCAAAAAGTTTTGATGGTAGGTACACTGTTACAGAAAGTTATCTCTTGCCGATGATCCACCCTATCTGGCTGAAAAAACTTCCTGGTCAATACGTTACAGTTTATTATTCAATGCCATTTATGTTGCTTTTGCAAAAATCTATACTTCATGTTTTGTCCTCCATTTGAGATTCGCCACAGTTGAGTGCCCCTCTACAAATTTTGGTATGGGGCACCTAAGGAACAAGCTACACCACTGACCGTACTATATAGCGTGAGTGCGTGTCCTTTTATTATCATTCATCGTGAATATCGTAACCACCGATCACGCTCACTGTTAAAAATAGAATTTTTCCAAGGTATTATTATTCCGAAATACATTTGGCTATAATTCCTGAAAATATCAAAAATATCAGTTTGTGTAATTCGTAGAATTGCAAAAAATCGCAATGCCTGTGGCTCTGAGACGAAAACGAAAGTACAGTGGTTGTTGCTGTAGTAAACGGAGTAGTAGCGCCAGTGATGTGTATCAACAAAACAAAAACACCCAATGTCAACAATGCAAGGTATGCAGATATAACATTTATTGGACGCAATTTAAATTATATATGAGCACAATAATCCTTCCTATGATTGGACTGGTATCTAGAAGTTTTCTGCGGCGAATATTAACCTAGGAAGTGATATTACTACATATTAGAAGAGTCATACTAACAATATATTTTTGGTCGAAGAATTCCTGATACTTTTTATAAATTACAATAAAGTAGTTATTAGTATATGAATATCCGTTTACCTTACTGTACAATAAATTTCTATATTTTCTTTATAGGTAAGTGTTGAGTTTTCAGTACTGACTGTCCTAAAAAAATGTCAAAATGACAACCTTTTAAAGGACGTCTTGTTGTCGTCATAAAAAATGGCGTCAATAAAGACGTCTTTTCTACTTAATGACCTTTCCGACCAAAAGTGACCGAATAATGACGTCATTTTGGCAATGAGCTGACATTTGGATAAACATTTGGATATTAAGTTCTGTTTAGGGTTGCAGTGACTTGAGTAACCTGGAATAGTTTTTCTCTTGCACGATGAAGTGTCGATATATTTAATCCTTGTGATAATATGTAAAGTAAATAATACAGTAGAATGGAGCTACTTCTTGTAGATGAAGATAAGAGTTTGAGGGCCGTTTGCAAAGTACCATTTACCTGTTAAAAATCACAAAAAAGTAGTTTCAAGTATAGCAAATTCGTTTTCGTCTTGTGGATCATTGCTTGACAGCGAGTGCCGGCCTACAAAGCTTACTAGAATACTAAATATCATTACTAAAGGTATTCCGCGTTTTCACTTCCCACGCCTCCAGGAAAGAAAGTATTGTAATCGCGAAAATTTTCAAAAATGAAATATTATGTTTTTTGGATGTTATATGACATGCACATCATGAAAACCCTTTTCTCTCATTTCCGTCGGTCTGTATACAATGCTACTATCATGCCAAGGACGAAAAACCTTTGTAGTTTTTGAAAATCGGTCCAGTGACGGCGGAGAGAAAGACAAAAAACGAAAAAACAAAAATCGTTCAAACTTGGTTTTCTGATGTTTCAAAGGATCCTGATCATTTTCTGAAACATTTTTTGTAGGGGTTAAATTTGGTGCCTAAGGCTTGCAGGGGGTGGGGGAGGGTATATCTCATTTTTTGACGTTGGTATAGTAATTCTACGCATACCTACTTATTAGACATATTTCACTCATCATATATGATCTCCGTACATTTACCCTTACTTATCTCCAACAATCGCTTGTCGATACGTCCGACGTGGTCTCCGATGGACGAGCATCCTACGTCACAGTCGGCAACTGCTTGTGTGCACAGTATATGGTGGAGGCTACTATCATCATTCACAACGACCATGTACGCCTGCAGGAATTTCTCGCAGGGGCAGGAGGAAAGTCATTTAATTTTTTGTTATACATGTTCGTACCTAACTTTGTTCTCAGAAGGGTCAACTTGTGCCAAACGTAATCCTTTACGAACTGATGACAGCGTTGTGTGGGATGTTCAGAGTCAACTTACTTGACAACATTTTTTTCATAATAAATGGGTTATTTAGATTTCCCTTTCTTAACAGCAGAAGAAATAAAGTGAAAACGAATTATATTGTTCCATTCGGTTTATACTATCAGAATATTATTATAATCTTTCTATAATCATCCTGTTTACGAAATACCGATAATTTACTGTTCCCATTGTGAACTTCACAATGTGTCTCGTGTCAACAAAGGAGTGTGTATATAGAAACGTGCAAAACTGCGGAACCTTCCGAAAAATCTAAAACGATACTTTTGTACCATTCAGTTAGACAAGGTGTTTGCAAGAGATGCAGAACAACTGGGTCAGATTCTCGTCCGAATTATGAAAATGTGACCATGTTAGCCATGCTTGAAACACGCTTTTGTAGATGACGCTCGAGCCTTTGATTACTCTTCATTATTTTCAGTGTTGCTGAACGCCCTGTTGACTGTAAAACCATGAATATGTATTGTTTCTATAAGCATGTTAGATATTACTTAGAGAGCCCTAAGTTATAATGTTTCTTTTGTTTGTCCATTTTTTGTCGATAACATACTTTGGCTGCATGTTTGTAGGCAGTTAAATGAGTAGCTATCTTTTACCATCTTCATTTCGTATTCATATAGTTTAGTGTAAGAATAACTTTAGCTAAACTTCGCCATAGAGAAGCGCACTTATGCAGCTTTGTTAATAAAGATGAGATTTTTGCCCACAGCAGCGGCGTCTGCAATGGTCATTGGTCGATATTATTTTTATTACTAAATAACTCTTTCAAATAGTTTTTCCTGCAAATACTATAACTAAACGTTTTAATGCCGTAGTAGCTAGAAAAAAATGGAAGTTCCAAATTTATAGAATTCCTGTTCATTCGATTTCGGATGATGGACTTCCGCTTGTAATGATGGCAGAAAATTATGTGCGCTAGTCGAAACCTTCCACAAATTTTTGTTTTTTATTAAAATTTTATTTTTTATTTGAATATTTAACTGAAACAAATGATATTATTTTCAAGTATATTATGTTTTCGGCTTTCTACAACCAACACGAATAAATATTTGCTCCAGTTATCGGTGATAGGTATGTATTGTATATTAAAGTAAAATCTCGTATTGTAATCACATTACAAAAGCGAAAGCGATTATATGATTCATATGTGACGCTATGGAAACAATCAACTCATATCCGTTCCCACTTTGTTGTTTCTAACATTTGCAAATCATTTTGGAAACTGTCCAATGGTAGAACCGCTCGATAAGAAAACCATTGAAAATCAGATACTGTCGGGACTGCGCTATAACATTCGTATGACTTCATCTTCAATCGGTGCAAGGTCTTGTACAATCATAGGCAAAAATCGGTACTCAGTGACGTGGTTTTGTAAAATGTTTATCCCATAAAATGAGTGTGGAAGTGGAAACAGGCGTTGATGCTTTATCTGACTTAGAAGTAATTGACCAATGTCAACAGGATGGCACCGAACCAGAAGAGTGGAAAAACGGAGCTATACCAACAGCCTTCTCGGAGGACTTGCCACGCCCATTGACTCCTGGATGTTGCATTCGACTTAGAGGATTCGTTCAACCAACTTGTTCTAGGTTAGTGATATGTGTTATGCAGTTATCGTGTTTAGTTTACACGTGTTTCTATTTATCACTCAGCTGATGGCTGATGGTCTGACCCACTCATTATTAAGGGCAAGGCAAAGTTGATAGGCCGGTGAACGTAGACATAATTCAGCCTCGATAAATGTATAAGCTATGATATGGGTGTTTCCGAAACATGGACAAACATTTCATGGATTGGCCTTTTCTTATCCGTATTTCGTTCTTTGACGATTAATAAAACGCTCCGGTTCCCAGATACAATGGTATAAAGTTGTCGAAAATAAAAAAAATTATTTGTAACAATCAAATGTGCCTTGAGACCTATATAATGCGATTTCTGTTTATTTATGTTGAAAACTCTCGAGCAATCATTTTGACGTTGCCGGATGTAACCATTGGCTATAATATTTTCCAGGAAGATGGACAAACCTATGCTGTATTTAGACGTATGCCTTCTGATTATCGACAAAAAAGTTATCGTTTCTACTGTCCACGCCTACTAGGAAGTACTGTAAACACAAAAAATTTCGAAAGTGAGACAGTAACCTGTCTTTCACGAGTGCGAATATTAGTGAGCTGAACACTTCCTGTATCTCGAGGTCTTTGGTAGACTTGCACAAATGTCCTTCTGTCTGGGTGTACCCGTAGGCGAAATCTGTCGCGATAAATTTGAGCTGCAAGATTTGAATTCTGACGAGCTTCACCGTAAACTAACAACAGGCCGGCGAACTCTTGATTCGAGAACATTGTAAATAAACACGACGAAGTACGCGAACAAAAACAAAACAACAGGCCCGATCCCGATAACTAACCACTGTTACCGTTTGCGATCGATTGTGTGTTTTAAATATTTAGTTTAATGAAACTACTGACTACAAATTTTGGCCTAACTTAGAAAAACTGAATGCCATTTATTTGTTAATTACCCAATTTAAAAACGTTTTAGATTAGATTATAAAAATTAGTAAGATTGTGATGATTGTGGTCGATATAAAGCACTTAAAGTTGTTAACTATAAAGGTATTTAGACAAAAATCTATTGACTTTTGGCCAATGGGTCATATGAACTTTTCGACTTGTTTTGACTCCCCCCCCCCACCGATTACCTATTTCAATAATGACTACCATAACGTTTACACCCCATATAAAGCAACTATTAAATCCATGATTTGCTTCATCTTCAATTCGCCCCGAGTTTCTTATTTTATTGTTCCACTTTGGAATTAACATTATGTACCACTATTGTCATCGACAATATAAGATACTGGAGCTACCTTAAATGTAGTTTTTATTGATGAAAAGCTTTATTATGTGAACATTTCAAATCAGGTTGGTCCGGAGGTTTACCCATTGTAGGTTCGCGCCATGTTCAGAAAACAGCATTACGCCATAGGATAGTCGAAACCCATAAAAAATAATTAGCTGAATTTGTTTAGTTATACCTAGACATTTTTTGTGCGGATAAAATGAGATAATTAAAAACTTGCAAAATAGCATGGAATACCATGAAATGTCGAATACGTTAACGGATCAACATTTTTTCACATCTATAAAAGTTTATACTCAGGGTAGGATGCCTGATAAACATTGTGAGGATCAGTGTAATAATTTTTCGAACAAAAGATATATACGTTTATATTCTATAATCAATCTGGTAGCTGTATCTTCGCCGAATTTTCTGTGCATCAGGCCTAACTTAAAATAGATAAATACCTACATCGATTTAAGAGCTTATTCAAACTTTACGCTAAAATGACTGTCCTATTGACGTTCATATAGTGTATTATGTGTTGCCTATATCATGGCGTCGCCAAAAGACGCGTCGCTAATGAAAGTGGATAAGCATCCGAAAAACTATCATCATTCTAATCTATTAGAACTACGAAAGTATTCAAACTAATTTTAAATCTCAGTGGACAAAAAATCACTGTAAGGCATTTAGAATACGTATTTGAATTTTTGAATCCGATTATTGAAAAGGTGAAGAATACTTTTAGAGTGATCAAACATTTTAATCGGACCACACATGCATGAATTTTGAAAATATTTAATTCAGATCATCAAACATTTATTTTATAATATTCCTTTCAGATTCTCAGTGAATCTTAGATGTGGGAAGGATTCCGATAGTGACATTGCATTGCATGTCAATCCAAGGCTATCACAAAGGTGAGATAATACTTCTATAGTCTCACAATTTCTCAGTGATGTACACGATTCGCTGTACAAAATATCTGGAATACAAGATACTTCTGAAATAAGTATTCAAGATATCAGATACAAAATACTATCTGGAATTGTATTTGAAATACATACTAGATACAAAATTCGTATTTTAAGTCCTTTTTAAAGAAACGGCAATTCATTGCGTTTATTTACCTCATGTATTATTTTCTCGTTGGTCGCGCAAATGTGACAAAATATATAACCAGTTTTCCAAACAATGATGCCTTATTATCATATCCCCAAAAGAGATGGGTCTCTTCACAGGGCTAAAACTTCGCAAAAAGGTCTTATCTTTGATAGTTTTATTATTGTAGGATAAGCATTTGAGCTCCTAAAGCCAGTATGTTTATTATTTAGGTATTGCAGTGTTTTTAAGTCTCAGTGCTGCCAGTATACCTTGTGTTTTCATTGTTTTCGCAACTTACAATAGACGAATCATAGTCATCTAAGAACATGTAACAAGATTCGTCTTTTGACTTATTTCTTATATCACTTCCAATATTGCCTAATGTCTTTGCTTCTCTTGTATCAGATCGATTAATTTTTGTATTTCAGTCAGGATAAGCCCTTTTACATATTCTTGACCCTAGAAAGTTTCAAGAGCGCGTTGTGTGACGAAATGCATAACTATTACTAAAAGTACTTTCGCAAACACAGTTCAAATTTGAATTACGCGGCAACCGTATACGCGAGGAAGTGGGGAGAAGTCTTGATCGACGCGTTCGGCGTGCGGGTTAAATCGTCACAATGGAACGTTGGACCGGAGCGCAACGTGCGTTTTCTATCGAGGCTTACTTTAAGATTGGTGATTTATACGCAGCTGCCCTTCGGAAATTACGATACAACATTCGCCGACCAAGAGATGCCGGACGCATTCCACTGCTTTGGGAATCCCTGGGTCAACACTGCCTGGCATAATGAAGAAAAAATGGGTTTTCATCCTTATAAAATCCAACCAGTCCATGCTTTAAAGGAAAGTGATTACTTATTACCGAAATCTTGTGCTGACCGGATGTTGAACCGTTTTTCTATGCAGCGCAGACTCGAGAACGTTGTTTTCAGTGACGAGGCCCATTTTCACTGAGACGGTAATGTGAACAAGCAAAATTGCAGCTATTGGACACCAACGAACCCAAAAGAGAAACATCAACAACAGCTACATAGTCCAAATGTAACTGTTGGGTGCGTCATCTAGCGGTATTATTGGGCTGTATTTCTTTGAAGATGAAAACGGTCATGCACTGACGTCAATTCCGAGCGATAGAAGGACATGATTGACACTTTGACACGTCGAAACACATGGTTTCAACAGGATGGGGCCACTGCCCATACTTCCAGAGAATCGATGGATACAGTGAAAGCATTTTTTCCTCAAAAAAATATCTCGACGTTTGCATACATTTACCGGCCTCCTAGGTCACCCGACCTCACGCCATGCGATTATTGTTTGTGGTGTTATCTAAAGTCAAAAGTGTATTCCAATAATCCACGAACACTGGAGGGATGAGAAACATTTGGACGGAATGATACTTAAGAAATAAATGCCAAATTTACCAATATGTTGATAGTAATAAATATTTTCTTTTCTTTAAGCTAGTATTTTTTTTAAAATCAAAAAGTGAACTTTCCCACTGGAATTAAATACTGAGATACCAAAAGAAAGATACCTTACCACAAGATATAAATACAATTTTAAACATGTATCTTAGATACAAGATGAAAATACGTATTTTGTATCTTGTATCTGTATTTCACATACTTCTATCTTAAGTAAGACACATTCCTGCAATTTTGTTCGTTTTGCTCTCCTTGTTATAATGACAAACTATAAAATCGAGAAAAGCTACACAATGCGACAGATAAATCAATATAGGTCTTATTCACAGATATGTAGTGAGGAATAGCTTGTTAGGCAACCGATGGGGCATAGAAGAAACCACTTGCATTTCAAAACCGAAGCTCTCCAGGAATCAGCCTTTTGAAATGGATATTTTATGCAGTGAAAGCATGTTTTTTGTCAGTATCAATGGCAAACATGTATGTGCCTTCGTTTACCGAGTGCTTCTAGCAAAAGTCAAAAACATCCAGGTATGCATGAAAGAAGGCGATATGACCGGTTCGAACCGTTGAAAATTATATCTTTTTTGCCGAAAATGTAGCCAATTTGTTGTTTAGACATTTTCATTTTAGGTAGTAGGTTACGTAAAAGTATCTGACGTAGAATATACCACATTGGATGTGTATCCGCAGTCTTCACCAAAGAACGAATTTTACACTGTACCCGTTATAGAAGAACCTGTAGTCTCGACTGAAAATACTCTGGTAAGAATAATCTTCAGAGTATGTATTACGTTGTACGTTAAAAATTGTCAAATAATCACATTGAAACCAGCGGGAATACTTTCGGTCGGACCAAATGACGGAGAAAAGCCCCAGAGAAAGATATAATACGTGTAGAATTATACAATCAATAAACTATGAAATTTATGAACAAAAAATTATTGAAAAGGATTTGGCTTAGGAATGGGCACTTTTTCCTCAAAAAGTTATATCGAAGTTTGGAGACATTTACTGGCCTCCTAGATCACCTGTCCTCACGCCATGGGATTATTTTTTTGTGGTGTTATCTAAAGTCAAAAGTGTATTCCAATAATCCACGAACACTGGAAGAGATTAAAGACTAACATTTGACGAGAAATAAACATCACTCTGGAACCCTGCTAGAGAGAGTTTCAGAATGTGCGCCCTGGTCGCCTTATTTCCAGGTTTGGCGATGTTCATTGGCCTCCTCGGTCCCCAGATTTATCCATATGCGATTTTTTTTTATGGGGACACCTCAAGGCTAGAGTATACGCGAACAAGCCCCGAACTCTGGACGAATTGAAGCGCGACATTCGCGTGGAAGTCGCCCAAGTTGAGAGAGCGACGTTGGAGAGAGTCTACGCGAACTTCCAAGACCGCCTCCAGCACTGCATCAACGATTTCGGCCACCACATGCCTGATGTGATTTTCCACACTTGACTGTCTCAAATGCTATTTCCTTGTGAACCTGATTCCATCAATAAATTTGTTTTCGAGTAAAAATTAACTATTTTATGATTTTTTTAAAACCGTCCATCCTCTCTGCCGCACCCTGTATTTTCTTGTCATTAAGTTTGTATTTTTTTCTTAAATCAAAAAGTGAACTTTCCCACTGGACACCCTGTAGTAAAAAAAGGTTACGTGATCTTGGCACGTGACACAATGACACTGTTCAGCGGATCAATAATATTAACATCTACTTAATTTGTCTAGGAAGTCCCACTTACTGCAAAGCTACCCACAGGTCTTAAACTAGGACAGCAATTAGAAATCCATGGTAAAGTGAAGATTTTGCCCAGTTCCTTTTTTATTAATTTGCAAGAAGGAACGCATATGTGGCCTCATCCACCGGTCCATCTACATCTCAACCCCAGATTCAGTGAGTATTACATCATATTTGACTATTTATACAACTTCGATCGATGTCATACAAAAATTATATGTGTCTTTTCGTGTCGTGTCGTTAAGATGCGTTCAAGGGAAAACGCTAGGTCGCAGAGAGCATAATCCGCTTGATCGCAGCTCAGTTATTAAATCCTGTGTTAAACCATAGCCTCTCCTGAACTCAACCCACGGCTCTCCAAAACACTTATATCAGTGATGGCCGCATATAACGCGGCGTTGTCAAATTTGCGATAACAAAGTTATCAAGCATCGCTAATCGCTATTGACCAATTTCAGGGCGTATCCTTTGCCCCGTTACAGCTTTTTTTGTTATCCACTGGCATCGAGCATACAATAATTCAGCTGACCGGTTTTAAGGCTAGCATTGGTATTATACGCCATTCGTAGTCTATTTACGCCCAGACAAATCACAACATGCCCAAAAGCGAGATTGTACAGGTCCGTATTTTCCTCTATGGTCTCGGAATAATCTAATAAAGTAAATGAAACAGGTGCACATATTTTCCACAATTCTTTATTTGATGGAAGTACTTAAATCATCGTCCCAATGGCTAATATTAATTATTCCAGGTTTAATTTGAATATAATATTCATTAAATTTTATATCACAAGATTGGAATATACATCTTATGCTGATGATGTACAAATTTATAAAGCTTGCAAGCCAAATTAAGTTATTTCATTGATTTTCGAATTAAATATAAATCTAGAAATGATTGAAAACTATTCCAGAAGTTATTGTTTGAAACTAAAGCTTGCTGCATTAGTTCTAGGTTAAATATTTCAAAATTTAAAGAATTGATGAGTACAGACATTGTTTTAGGTGATACAGCTGGTGAAATTGTAGAGGAGACTAAGAATTTAGGAATTTTATTGGACACAAATTTAAGTTTTGAGAACCATATTATTAATAAACTTCGAGTATGCTATTATAAATATCTCACTTTGGAGATACAAACACGTTTTAACCAGCGATATAAAATTGAGAATTACCAATGCACTAATCCTCACTCATCTAGACTATGGTGCTATACTATATTATAATTTTCTTACGGAAGAAATGAAGCACAAAATTTAAGTATTACAATACTACTGCATGATATTCTGTTTCAAATATATATGTAAACAAGAATATATTACTGGATATTAAGTAAAAGAAAATGTTTTAAAATTCAAGTATCGTGTATTGATTCAGTATGGAACTCTACTGTATAAAGTTTTGAAATATAAATTACCCAGCTATCTGTTTATTTCTTTGGAGAAGAGATGTTTACTCCGCCAAGTTTCCTTACGCAACAATGCATGTTTCAATATTCCAGTTCATACGTCCAAATTCAAAAAATGTTTTACTTACACGGCACCACATCTGTTGAACGATTACTTAGAGCTTTTTGAAGCACCTTCCATCCAAAACTTCAGAAATGAGATGGAAAAAGTGCTACTAGAGCTACAAAGATTTGAATCCACAAATTAAATTCGTAGCAATTGCTACACTATCTTCCACTAACACTCAGACTACAGGGTGGCCAAACACGTGACGTCATAAAAAAAATTAGATTCCCCACATCGAGAGGAACCCAAATCACCCCCATATATATGGTCCGATTTTGTTTAGTTTAGGAGTTATGATTTTTTTTCGGATTTTTCGAGAATTTTTGAGTCCTGTGTTTATTTTTACCATAACTTCGTTAATAATTGTGATAAATGCCTGCTTTTTTCACGATTATGTAGCTAAGACCTAAGGCTTAACTATCATATAATCATTCAAGTCATGTAACTAATACTACTTTTTAATTTTTTTCAAAATCTTCGAACATAACAAAAAAGTAAAAAAGTGCAACAACTTTGAACGTTTATAAAAAATTGAAAAAACATGTTCTTACTATTCGTAAGTATATTAAAAACTTCCTTACGGTATCAGCTATTTACCGTAAAAATTTCATCAACCTAGCTTTACTACATGCTACCGTAATTGTGGCTCAAATAGAACCGAACCCAAAATTGGATAACCCTCTGCTCAATAGAAATTGTTAGTTTCGGAAAAAAAATTTGCAAAAACCACAAAAACACGTTTGATTTTTACTGAACAGCAGACTATTATTCATTTATGTTATTTACAAGAGGTTTTCAAAATGTCTGCCTCTAACAGAAATGCACAGTGTACACCTACGTATGAAATTTTGTTTTAAATCTCTAAATGCTTGTGTGTTGTTTTTCAACACATGTGTCGCTTCTTGAATTTTGTTCCTCAATGAATTTTCATTTGCACATTCTTGGGCGAATGTTATGTCTTTAAAATATCCCCAAACAAAAAAATCAATGGGGTTGAGGTCAGGGGAGCGTGGAGGCCATCGTATCGGTCCGTTTCGTCCGATCCATCTGTCTGGGAACCTTTCGTTTAAGTAGTTTCGCACGATCGTTGCGTTGTGGCATGGTGCACCATCATTCTGGAACACCATGTTCCGTCTGGCTTCCAGGCTTGAATCTTCCAGCAATAATGGTAGGCTATTTTCAAGGAAGCTTTTGTAGGCTACCGAATCCAACCTTAACGGCAGTTCAAATGGACCGATAAATTCCATATTGAATATTCCTGACCACATGTTCACACTAAAACGGTGTTGAAATGTCGACGGCCTTGACTGGTGGGGGTTTTCAACAGCCCAAGTATGTAAATTATGGATATTGAATATCTCTGTTCTTTCAAAACGTGACTCGTCAGTCCATAAAATTTTATCAAAAAAATCGGGATCCTCTCGTTGTCTTCGCAGCATTGTCTCGCAGAAATCCACTCTTAACTGGTAATCTGAAGGCATCAACGCTTGAACTCTTTGAACATGATAGGCATGATAACCTTCTTCATGAAGAATATTTTGTATCGATTTTAGTGGTATTCTAAGGTTTTGTGCCATAGATCTCGTACTCGTTGAGGGATTCCGGCTAATTTCTTCAAGTACTACTTCTCTGCGATCCGGATCAGCTGTAGGATATCCTTCATTGCTTCCTCGTCCTGGAATGCGGCCTGCCATGAAAGTGTTGTGTGTGTTAATAAAAACACGGTGGTCTGGGTAATGCTCAGGTTGTGGTCCGCCTCGGCGTATAAGTTGTTCCCGGTACAGCTGAGCTGCTAAAGCGCCGTTGCCTTGAGCAACGCCATAATAATAATGCATCGACATTTCAACACCGTTTTAGTGTGAACATGTGGTCAGGAATATTCAATATGGAATTTATCGGTCCATTTGAGCTGCCGTCAAGGTTGGATTCGGTAGCCTACAAAAGCTTCCTTGAAAATAGCCTACCATTATTGCTGGAAGATTCAAGCCTGGAAGCCAGACGGAACATGGTGTTCCAGAATGATGGTGCACCATGCCACAACGCAACGATCGTGCGAAACTACTTAAACGAAAGGTTCCCAGACAGATGGATCGGACGAAACGGACCGATACGATGACCTCCACGCTCCCCTGACCTCAACCCCATTGATTTTTTGTTTGGGGATATTTTAAAGACATAACATTCGCCCAAGAATGTGCAAATGAAAATTCATTGAGGAACAAAATTCAAGAAGCTACACATGTGTTGAAAAACAACACACAAGCATTTAGAGATTTAAAACAAAATTTCATACGTAGGTGTACACTGTGCATTTCTGTTAGAGGCAGACATTTTGAAAACCTCTTGTAAATAACATAAATGAATAATAATCTGCTGTTCAGTAAAAATCAAACGTGTTTTTGTGGTTTTTGCAAATTTTTTTTCCGAAACTAACAATTTCTATTGAGCAGAGGGTTATCCAATTTTGGGTTCGGTTCTATTTGAGCCACAATTACGGTAGCATGTAGTAAAGCTAGGTTGATGAAATTTTTACGGTAAATAGCTGATACCGTAAGGAAGTTTTTAAGATACTTACGAATAGTAAGAACATGTTTTTTCAATTTTTTATAAACGTTCAAAGTTGTTGCACTTTTTTACTTTTTTGTTATGTTCGAAGATTTTGAAAAAAATTAAAAAGTAGTATTAGTTACATGACTTGAATGATTATATGATAGTTAAGCCTTAGGTCTTAGCTACATAATCGTGAAAAAAGCAGGCATTTATCACAATTATTAACGAAGTTATGGTAAAAATAAACACAGAACTCAAAAATTCTCGAAAAATCCGAAAAAAAATCATAACTCCTAAACTAAACAAAATCGGACCATATATATGGGGGTGATTTGGGTTCCTCTCGATGTGGGGAATCTAATTTTTTTTATGACGTCACGTGTTTGGCCACCCTGAATATGGTATTATATACAGTGTTGTGCATAATATTTGTTGTGAATGCTTATCACTCTGTTGATGTTAAATAAATGCTCATGAAACTGACTTTTTAGGGGAGGTAAAAAATGGCCGTGCCAATCCTCTTTCCTTTTGGAATGTTGTCGTTTTTATATTTGTTATGTATAGACATTCCAATAAAAAATATTTTTATTATTATCCAGATCCCACATCTTTGTTTCGATTGACACTTGAACTTCATACGATACTCAGTGTCTTTTAAGCTCATGTGATGCCCCATTCAGCGTATTTCGTTCGACGATTGATACGAATTTTGTTTTTTTTACAGACACGACTAGTGTAGGTAAATACATGTTCGTCCGGAACGCTTGGACAAATGGCGATTGGGGACTTGAAGAACGTTGTCCTGGAGTCCACTTTTCACCTGGATCTGAATTTGTAGTCGTCATTCGTAGGTGAGCACGGTTAAACCACACCTCTCGGTAAACCATAGCAACTTAGCATATTTTAAACTCAAATTCAATCTGTTATATTGTATTTCGATATTTTAAGCAACTGTTGGTGCCTTCTATCTTCATGTTTCTTACCGATTTCCAAGAAAGTCACTACAAACAGAAAACAATCGATAATCGTGACACTCGACTTTTAAATCTTAAAATGACGACTGTCATATCATTGTTTGTTTTTGAAACGGCAACTCTTATTTCAAAAAATGAATCTAAATTTGAAACATCTTAGTTACAATATTATAGTCTAATTATATTAGTCGAAATAATTGTAAAGTTTGGTTTTATTGTTGCAAGTTGTTCAAGGGGACATGGACACAAAATGAGTACACCAATTTTTGTGGGGAAACTTTTTATTAACAATTATCTTTCGGAAAGGCTTGTGATTCATATCGGCAAGGTAAACTCGTGTAATTTGCTATAAAATGCTCTTTGAACGAATACTGTATTTTGCTCAATAAACTAGTAGTGAAACAGGTGTTTTGGGATAAACAATTAGAAATTCTCAAAAACTACTTGACTAATCGCCTCCAATTTGGTTGTGGTTATTCAGAAGTAAGAAGTCTTCGGATTTGAAGAATTTCAAGTAGCTGCGTGAAATTATTTTCAAATTAGCAACAAGTGCCGAAACCTGCATTTTACCTCGGTCTTCGGCCATAACTTTTTTACTATTAGTGGGATCTTTTTACGTGTGGACTCATTCTATAGGTCTCATAAATACCTAAAAATTTTATTTAAAGAGTTTTTTCATTCCTGCCAACACTTCCGTTTGAATCCCATTATCTGTTGTCGAATAAAAAGTTTTCCCATGATTCGGGAAAATTTGCTAACATGATTATAAGACGAAAACAAGATCAACTCTTGTGAAAGGCTCAGTTATTTATAATGGTCTGAAAAATTACATGTGCCTACCTGATGATATCTCAATAATCAAGAATTTAAAGATATTTCGCCGTGAGGTTAAAAACTTCCTTATTGGTAAACCATATTATATCATGTGTGACTTCCACAATTCAATTACTTGAGATCCATATATGTAAATTTGTTTACTTTCAAGTTAGCTTTGTCATTAAGGATGATTATATTCTTCAGACAATAAAGCATATCTAGGGACATATTTTTCCAGAGGGAACAATCACTTCGCAGTATGGATAGACGGAAAATTGGCGGGAGAATTCAAGTTTAGAGCCGACGCTGACAAAGTAAACGCATTGTACATCCAAGGTGACGTCACCATCAAGGCTGTGTGCTTGAGAACTAAGGCGACAGATGCGTGCTTCACGAAGAAACCGAAACGTTTCGCTTTATAGATCTATATTAGAAAGAAATTTGTATTTTGAGCATTGCGCAGTTTAAATTTACGTGCGTAATTAAAGGCTGTCTCAATAAGAGCGCCGGATTTGATTTTCAAGAAAACAGAATTTCTTTTCGAATTAAGCGAGAATTTATATTTCAACATGAAGAGGAACGGTTGCGATTAAACATGAAATAGGACATCCGGTAAATCGTCGCCTGAATGCAGAACTATTGTATGTCCAAATCCTTAATTTTTCGGATTTTAACACGACGTTGTAGCTAATAGTCACCTGCATTGCATGCAGAGGTATTGTAAGTCCCTGCGCAAGCGTCTCCCCACCACTGGTCTTAAACGATATTTGGCGTAATATCTTGAGGCACGTCACTTCGCTGCAGAACTATGATAAGAGCAGTTGCTCACTTACAGAACTACTGTGAGTCCAATGTCATCAAAAAAAATTATAAGTCCACTTCACGGACTCTCAGAAATGTTAGGCAAGTCCGCCAATTGATTCTTGTTTAATCAATCTTGTTGCTTTGTGACTTAGAATACTTCTGAATTCAAGCGACGAAATGGCCACAGCGAAACCTCTGGCCAGTCTTTTCTTAAAATTCTGGATAGCGTTTTCGCACAACTGTTGCCCTATTTCGTCGATAACGTGCCGTATCTCTTATTTAAGGCGTTCAACTGTTTGTGGCTTGTTCGAATGCACCTTTTCCTTCACATAGCCCCAGAGGAAGAAGTCCATTGGCGTTAGATCGTACGATCTTGGTGGCCAGTTTTGATCGCCAAACCGAGAGATGATCGGTCTGGAAACTTGGTCCGCAGGAACACCATTGTTTCGCGTGCTGTGTGGCAGGTCGCACCGTCTTGTTGGAAGAACATATCCTCGACATCAATTCGATCCAACTTCGAAACAGAGAAAACAGCATCAATTTGGTGGTGCTCCAGCGCCCAATCAACTAAATTCACGGCGCTGTGAAAGGTCCGTTGGCTTGAGTTCTTGCGTCAGTTGAACCTTGTACGCATGCAAGCACAGATCTTTTGTAAAAATCCGTTGCAGAGTGCGACTGGTAAGGTTCAATTCTTGGCCACGATGCAGAATTGAAAGTGCCTGGACTCTCGGACGCAATGCAACTATATTTTCGAGGGACCGACCAGGACGGCGACGAACAGTGGTCTTCACACTCAGCAACGTAAATTTTGTCTCAAATTTTGAAATTAAACGGCAAACTGTCGACTCACTTGGCGCAATATTGCTATCGAACATTTTACATAATTTTCTCCATTTTTTTTAGAGTTTTCATAATAAACGTTGCTCGTTTGAGACTGCTCCATGACATCTCATCGCGTGGTCTGGACATGACAGTTGTCACCAACTAAATACCATACCATTTGTACAAAAAAATGGCGGCAAATTCAAATCCGGCGCTTTTGTTGAGACACCCTTTACATGCTTTAATTATGAGCTTTTACCGAAAAATGATTTGCTGATGATGAATTCTGAAAATTGACTTAGAATTGTATTGTAATGAATACGACTAACTTTTTCTCGTTCGATGTCACTGTAACATATTGAATGTTTCAAATATAATAAACATTATGTATGAGTAATTATAGTGTGAAAATTAAATTTCTTCAATTTTTAGAACAATTTAGGCTTGTATTTTAAACCGCTGACATTATAATAAAACCTGTTGTGATGAAATTCAAAGGTTCCGACGCGCAGCGGCAAATATAGATTAATGTGAAATTTTATTTTTATACTTAATATTTATTAATAGCTTATTATTCTTTAAAATTTTTCACATTTTATTCTCGAAGAAAAATCTTATTCTAGATTGAAACGACAACCATCGGTCGATCTTTTGATCTTATTTTTATTTAGTGTTATATTATTTTGGAGTGTCTTTTGGACAATTCTGACTAAAATCTATGTCTATTTGTTATTTGTGTCGCAATATAGCCTTTGGGCGAATTTGTTTTATATGAGCGAATAAACAATTTTATATACAATCTTTCATTTCTTTAATATGTATATGCAATATCTAACCACATATAAACTTAAAATTTACAACTTACAAAACATTTAATTATTTTTTCAACAACATATTTCTGAAATCAGCGTTCGATTTTGGTGCTGCAGTGCTAACAGCAGCGTTTCCATTGGTGGAACCAGATTTTTCAGTCGCGCTTTTCACCTGGAGGGATCTGGGTATCAACGGGACCTGCAGACGGCTTCTCGCGTGCCTGGATGGTTCTGGCACCTCTGGTTTCTTCTCTTTTTTGGGCGGGGGCGCGCTTATTGCGACGCTGATTTCGTGGTCGTCCACCTGCAAAATAGACAGAGATATTCATGAGTTGTGTGACGCTTTCGCGGACAATGTCCAAACGATTCATCATTCTCGGGCTGTTCAGCCGGTGTTGGGAATTGTTAATTCTTGACGTTTCACCAGTGGATGGCATCTCCGAAGGTTATTCTTCGGTGTTTGATGAGAAACTCATCAAACTACACACACACAACACGATACACATACAGTGAAGATAGGATGTTGCGCATATGGGCCGGATCTTCGTGGCGTCACCTTGAGAGTTGTAGGCTCCTGGTTACCAGCGGCAGGATTGTCGTAACGTTCCTGCAGTGTACGTGTATCGTGGTTAATATACTAAGTGACATATAAATCCGAACATCCAGTTTAAATGGTTTTATTTTAATAAAATTTTGTATAAGCACTTAATGAAGCATAATAAGTAAATGATAAAAATTTCAAAATGATTGCACTGCTTTAAAGCCCTTTGACGTTTAATAATGTGTGGATGCACCCTGATGTGCTACGCATTATCCAACGCGCCTAGGCATGCTTCTGATCAGGTGGTCAATGTCCTCCTGTGGTATCTCATTCCAGGCAACCACCAACTCCTCTCACAGTGCCTCTAGAGTCTGAGGAGGACGTTGCAAATTGAGCAATCTCCTACCTCCTACCCATCATATCCCACACGTGATCAATTGGGGATAAGTCGGGAGATCTTGGTGGCCATGGTAACAATGTGACATTATTATGTTGAAAGAAGTCTATTGTGACTCTTGCAACATGTGGTCGGGCATTATCTTGTTGGAAAGTTGGATCTGCCAGGGTGTCAAGATAGGGTAAAAGATGGGGTTCTAGAACTTCGTGGATATAACGCTGCGCGTTCATGTTACCTCTGATGAAGATTAAAGGTGACCTGGAACCATAAGCTATAGCACCCCAAACCATAACTCCAACAGTGTGATGAATATGTCTTTCAACAAAAAACTATGGATTCCTCCTTTCACCACGTCGCCTTCTAACCCTGGCACGACCATCGTGCATGCCTAAACAAAATCGAGACTCGTCACTAAAGACAATACTGTTCCATTCCTGATCCCAGAGTGACCGTTGTCTGCACCACTCAAGACGATTACGTCGGTGTTCTCGAGTTAAAGGGAGGACCCAGTGTGGCCGGTATGAAAACAAGACAAAACTTCTCATTCGTCGGTAAACACTTCGCATGCCAATAGGTCTTCCGTGTTCTGCAAACCATTCATTTGCAATGGACCTGGTAGTGGAGAAACGGTCCCTTAAGGCCAATAATCTTAGGCGGCGATCTTCACGGTCTGTTGTTCTACGGCGGCGTCCAGTGCCCCTTGATCTTTACGTACGGCCTTCTCGAAGCCATGCCTGACAACACCTAACCACAGTGTCTACACTTCTTTGCACTCTAACTGCAATTGCCCGAAAAGAAAGTCCAGCTTCCCGAAGTCCCACTATACGGCCCCTATCAAACTCACTAAGTTGACGAAATCGTACAGGTCTCCGTACTCTAGGCATCGTAACCGATCGTAAAGGATGTCAAGAACCAAAATCCGTCAACGTTGATTCTTTACTGCGGCTGAAATATTCATTTTTAGAGAGTTAGTGAATTAAAAAAAAGCAGTATAAAAACCGGATGTCCAACTGATAAGGCTGAACATTTTTTCACTTGTTATTTACACTAAAATAAATACATTCACCAACGTTTATTAAAATAAAACCATTTAAACTGGGTGTTCGGATTTATATGTCACTTAGTATACTATATAGTGGGATTTGTTGGTGATTTCTGGTGGTTTTGTGACATGTTGTATTCGTTATACAAACTTAATATACCCTGTGTGGGTTGATAAATTGATATGCGGTGTGCTGTTGTTCGATGTAATTCCGTCAACCAATCTAAAGAGAATCCTTGAAGTTCCACAGTTTTCCTCGAGACCTAAACCTGAGCAAAAAATTGCTTTTGTGAAAGTGCCTATAAGGTCAATTTGAAACCTACCCTTTTGGGTTACACCCCTAAAAGATATCATGCTCTAATAGATGATGCCATTCCTACGGAAAATTTACCCAAGTCTCTATCATCACCTGGACCTTCTACATCTACGCTTCAGCGTCCAATACCTGTTAACAAGATGCCTTAATCAAGATGTGATAGAAAACTTTTTCGGAGTAATTAGGGTCAAAGGTGATCTTCGTTACCATCCAAGTCCCCTAGAGTTTAAGTATAGAATAAGGTCATATATTTTGAGGCGAAACGAAGGCGCATACTCAGAGTATTGCAGCGTAGAGTCAGAGGATACACCGTACATTCCACTAACCGTATCAGTAACGAATAAACTGAATACACGTGAAGAATCAGCTGATTATAACGAGGAAGTTTTAGTGGAAGAAATAGATGAGCTGGAGTATGACGGTCTGGAAAATCTGGCCGGATTTGTTTGCCATAAATTACAGGATGAGAGGTTGAAAGGTTCCTGAAATGAAACTTATTCCTGGATAGACCATCTTAGGGAGGGTGAATTATCATAACGGGTGTGGAACCTTTCATGAAACAAATTGAGAAGCTGAATAAGGTGTTTCCTACATTCAATGGGGACGGAATAGTGACAGAAAAGCAAAATTTTATGGGTGAACTTCTGTTGAAGAGCAGCAACATTGACTGCCTTGAAAAAGCTAAAAAACTATTTTTTAGGTCAATGAACAATGATCTTCCGGATCAAATAACTGAATTAAAGTTTGAAAGACCAGAAAAATTGTAAAAGAAAATGGAAAAAAATTGTTGCTTAGACTAAGTCATTTCCATTTATTGTTATACCGCCAGCTCACTGCAGTACATTTTCACACTTACATGTTCTATGAAATACGGATAAATTAGTGCAGTATTAACGTCATAAGTACCGAAGTTACCTATTGGATCACCCTATAATGTAAATGTTTTAAGGATATCAGAAAACGGTATTTGAAAATTTGGTAATTTAGATTTGTTGAGAAAGCATAAGCAACAGGGTTGAAAAATAACATGTATTTTTATTTTATACAAAACACAATTTTTTTTGGTATCAATTTTTTGTTTGTTTTAAACATGTTTTTTCTGTTTTTAAAGCTTATGTTTTAAACAAATAAAACTTGGAAAAAAACATTGTTTAAAACATATTTTTTTCATAATATTAATTGAAAATGTTCGACCTATCATTCTACTAAATAAGAGATACCTTATTTAAAGTCCGACTCTGTACTAAACTGTCGCGATCAGCTGTTACGAACTACGTCGAGCCACGCCGCCGTTAGGCTGTGCCGGTGAGTCCCCGAAATAACAAAAACCAATTGCAATGAGGAACTATTGGCCTGGGGGTACCTCAGACAACTATTTATAAATTCGCCTTGCAAGTTGGCTATTGCAATAACGTCTACTGTGTTATTTTGTGGTGTTCTTTTTTTGAAAAATGTCGTCTAGAATAAGGAAGAAAGATGCCATTTGGTCCTATTTTGATGTTAAAGATAATAACAAAAAATCAGTGACTGCTAAATGTAAAAAATGTAAAGTAATTCTGGCTGGACTAGTGCTGCGTATGAAGGAACATATTCAAAAATGTGTTCCATCTGAAAATTCTCAGCTACCAATGTCAATTATCTATGATTCCGAGTCAGATGAGGATTTAACGCTAGATGAGATATCCAAAACTCAAAAATATTCAAAGAATATTTACCCAGATAATAATACAGGTAACTTTGAATTTTAAATTTTTACCAATTTAAAGACAGATGCCCAAGACTATTTGAAACAAAAATTAAAGTATGTAGCATTTGCTTTGGACAAAGTCCAAAGAAACACTTGCACTATAGGAGAGGCTACAGAGATCTAGAACTTTTAGAAGCATTTGAGACTGAACAAGCAAATGGAGAGTTAGTGATTTATTTATCTATTTATTTCCAACAGGTGAAACCCAATTACAGGAAACGCTGAAAAAAATAAAAATTAAAGAGACATGGTTCTTGGACTTAAATCTATAGTATCACACATTCTAAATAAGATTGGATGATCAGTCACACTGTTCATGACGCAGCACCTGAGATTAATTGGCGATTTTGTCATAACATTTGGTCGGCCAGCTTGACAATAGAATGCCGTTTGTTGTCGACTCCCTAGCCTTGGATCGCGGAAACATATTTTTTCAAGTAAATTTTGACAGTCAATTTTATTGTGAATGAGGCCATACAAAAACGACAAAGCAAATATGTTTCGTCTTGTTGACAGTGAATCCAAATTGAAAAACTCTAATAGGGCACTATGGTCACAACCTCTTTCTGGATAAGAACCCCTGCATTTAAGGTGAAAATACTTTAAAGCTTTACGTTGAATGGCCTCAAGGATCACGACAGAATTTTGGTATATAGGAGACCAGATCAGAGTCGCATACTCCAACTTGCTCCTGACAAAAGTAAAAAATAAAGTCATTAATGTATCAACATTGGAGAAACCCTTCCAGTTTCTGATACAGAAACCAAGTAGTCGAGTGGCAGCCGACGAGATATTGAGTATATGCTCAGTAAAGGTTAGCTTGGTATCAAAAATGACTCCAAGGTCTCTATAAGAGGTGCATCTGTCTATAACCTGACCATTGATGTTATAATTATCATAAATTAAATAGTTAACTTTTCTTGTATAAGTCATAACTTTACATTTCGAAACATTCAGACTGAGACAGTTTCGTGAACACCATGACGAAATTAGAGCTAAGTTATCTTGCAACATGACGCAATCCTCGGCTGTCTTGACGGACGTGCGAAAAACAAATGGAAACACTTCAGTACAAAAGACAAGTCATTAATAAATATTAAAAACAATAATGGACCTAGATTTGACCCTTGAGGTACCCCAGACGTGGCCCGATAGTAACTGGACCTATGACCATCATATTCGACAAATATCCTTCTATCCCTCAAATATGAATTCATGAGCGACAGCATTGCATCAGACATACCCACTGTTTTAAGTTGGTGACCGCAGATCTGCCTCTCATAAACCCATGCTGATTAATAGAGACTGCACCCCTGACCGAGCAGTAAACCGTTTCATAAGCGATGATCTCAAACAACTTGCTGAAATTGCACAGGATTGCTATTTGGCGATAGTTGGAAATATCAGAGATATCTGCACTTTTGTGAATAGGACATATTTTAGAGGTCTTCCAGATATTTGGATATGTCTCCGATTTTAGAATTAGGTTGAATATGGAAGCCAGCGGTTTCGCTAGTATATGAATGCAATCTTTAACGAAAAAACTTGGAATACCATCACATCCAGACGTCATTTTGTTCTTTAATCTTTTCGAAGCCCTAATTACATGTTCTTCACTTATATTTTTAAAGAAATGATATCGGTAGAATTATTTGTTGTAGGAGATGACCCTAGTAGACCAGACGGGATAAAAACTATTGAAAAGAAGGTAGCAAAACTGTCCACTATATCCTGAGGCGTATCGCAGACATTGCCGTTAAGCGTCATCCTTGGGGGGATTCTAGATTGCTGTTTTTTGACCTGGGCAAATGACAAGAATTTGCTAGGATCATTTACAATGGCATCCTCAACCGATTGGACGTAAGCGGAGTAGGCAACACTGATCTGGTTCTTAATGAGCTTCCTAAAATTACTGAACTGATCATAAGAAAACTTAGTACCGTCACGTTTCCAGTTCCTTCTTGCTATGTCCTTCTTCTTGATATTAAGTATAATTTCACGTGTGAACCATGGGGGATACGAAAACATTTTATTTTTACATTTAGGGACATGTACCTCAAAGATGTTATTGATAACTGAATACAAGGCGGTACAAGCGACATCAACATTAACTGCACTGATCACCTCCGTCCAATACGAATAACGTCGAGGAGCGGATGAAACTGGCTTTGACGCCAGCTCAATTTTTGGCAAATTTGCTTGATCATCGCTTTAGAGGCAATAAACTTAGTCAAGAGCGAATAGGAACTGGCATGGAATATGTAGAAATCCATCATCCAGAAGCATTGCCGTTTATTATTAGTTACCAGGCAAAACCATATATGTTTTCTAGACATCTAATTGAGAATGTAAAACCATTCGCATGGTGGCGTTCTATGAAAAATATAAATATCGCAGCCTTGGAACTTGCTCAACAGTTTCATACAGCTATTACATCGTCAGCCAACATAAAAACACTCTTCTCATCATACGGTTTAGTCCATTCAAAACTACGTAATCAGCTAAGCAATGTCAAAGCTGCTAAGTTGGTATCAATTTTTAAAGAGCTTAGATGACTATGAGACTGAAGGAGTGTGGGGAATTTGTTAACACTAATATGCAAAATGTTTAAGTTTTCCAATTTTTGTTGTGTTTCTGTTATTAATAAATAAATAATATTTATGTTACAAAGTTTGTATAATGTATTTGAGAACATTTCGTATTTTTATTAAATTAATAAAGAAAATGAAGAAAAAAGAATGCTTGTTTAATTTAAGTGTTTTAAACATGTTAACTGTTTTAAACAAAAATTGTTTTAAATAAGCGAATGTTTAAAACAAAATGTTTAAAACGAAACAACCCTGATAAGCAACAAGCTGTGCTCAAACATGCAGGCGGGCATACACACTTTTTTCCGAGCATAGATATTTAGGATATTTTTTTTATATGATATATATCGAAAAATGCAATGCGAAAATTAATGTTAGAACGAATGCTCTCACTAACCTTCATTCCATCAGTAGCTTTCAACGCCTTTTGTGCATCCGCTTCGTTAGCGAACTCGACGTACGCGAGGCCTTTAGACTGTCCGCTTTTTTTCAATATCACCCGCACGTCAATCGCTTTGTGGGGTTTGAACAACTCCTCGACTTCCTCCTTAGTTTTCGTCACAGGCAGTCCCTTCACGAACAATTTGTTGTTTTCTACCGTCGTGGAATACTTAAAGGCAGGTTTTCGCTCCATTTTAGCAGGTTTCAGTTCAGATATGAACACTGGTCTGCCGTCCAATGGGATTCTGTCACTCGCTAGGGCTGTCATCGCCTCTTCTTCCTTGGCGAATTTGATGTACCCGTAACATCTTGAAAAAAAATATAGGGCGAGTTCAAAGTCTTGTGCGAGTAGAGGGGGGGGGGGGAAATGAGTATTTTGTCATAATTTTATACAAATGCTAAAAGTGCGGTGCGAAAGCGAAGTACAGGACTCATTTCTTGACGCTAACTGCGCGACCTCGTGGAAACTGCATCATCACACGAAAATGAAGAAGTGTATGATGACTAGGATTTTTTGGATCACCCTGTATTGTACGGATATAGATGAAAATACGTCCCCCTAGAAATCACAATTGACTTGTCCCAGGGTTTTTCCAAAAATGTACCAGGAGAGTAATAAATAGGGGTGCGACCTGTTCGTTGGGCCATGCTATATGTACAGGGTGCGCCATCTTTTATGTCGGTATGAAAACATGAAGTAACTTTGAAAACGAAAAACTGATTCCTATATATCGGGTATTTTTATTAAATATGGTCCTTTACAATTTATTGGGACTAGTTTTTTAACACAACATCTATCAAGTGGCCACCTTTATTGGCTAAAACAAAATGTGCCCGTTTTTCTGCGTTTTCCATTACTATTTCGAGCATCTCTGGTGGTATAGCGGCGATTGCGGTACGCATGTTTGCCTTGAGTTCTTCAGTGGTCTGGGACTTGCTGGCGTACACTTGACCTTTCAAATAACCCCAAAAGAATAAATCCGGTGGGGTCAAATCTGGAGACCAGGGTGGCCAGTCAATGTCACCTCTTTTTGACACCAGACGTCCAGGGAATCTTCGTTGCAGAAACTGGATTATTTCATTTGCAGCGTGGCATGGCGCACCGTCTTGTGGAAACCAAGTAACCATCAAGACCTTTTTCACGCATTTGTGGGCAGACATAATAAGCCAACATCCACCGATATCGATTTCCATCGACTGTTTCGTTTTTGTTGAAGAAAAATGGCCCAATGATGGTTTTGGCGCAAACGCCGGCCCAAATAGTCACTTTCCGGTCATGCAACGGCATTTCGTGGATCTCATGTGGATTTTCCGACCGCCAAATGCGGCAGTTTTGCTTATTAACGACACCAGAGAGCGTGAAATGGGCCTCGTCGGTCATCACATATTTGCTTACAAAAATCAGGTTCAGCGACAACCATGCGAGCGACTGTTTGGGCGTATTCCAAGCGACGTGGACGGTCAGTTGGCAATATTTTTTGTGTTAATTGCACCTTATAAGGAAACAAATGAAAATAATCGTTCAAAATGTGCCGCAACGTGTTTCCACTGATGCCAAAATGCTGAGCGCGGTGACGATACGACACTTTGGGGTTCTGGGCAACGCTGTCTCCTACCGCTTCAACCAATTCATTGAAACGTATTGGTCGTTGATGAACGGTATGTTTCCCACTGTCAAGTACTCAAGAAAATTCGAAACCAAACGACGGGCCTGTTTGCCACGATATTTTCGACGATATGCACGTTGCGTTAACACAACTGAACGACGATTTTCAATGTCCATTATGACTATTTCGGCGCATTGTTTCGGTGTAAAGCGATTCATGACTAAAATTGTAGTAAATTGACGTTTCAGAAACACGTATAACCAAATCACTCGGTTGGTAAATATCAAAGTCATTCGATGTTTCAATACCGACATAAATGATGGCGCACCCGGTACTTATATAAACATTGTGTTTTTAATAAATGTTTTGAGTTGACAGAATCCTAAGAATTTATAACTTGAATTGATATCAACGGCCAGTAATACAACACTGCAAAAACCGTGTGGATTATAAACGAAAAACTGAAACCAAAGGTGCTAAAACACAATTTCCAAATGTTTGGAACCAGGCAGCAAAGTTTTAAACTGCGCAAGGTTGAATTCACTACGGCCTCAGTAACAATGTTTATACACATATCTGGCTCACCTAGACCGTCCTTTCTTGTCATATGCAACCTCCACTTCTGTGGCATTCGGGAACAGCTCCTTCAATTGCTTTTCTTTAACACTACTGTGCAAGTTGCTGACAAAAACAGTTGTTTTGGGATCCTTCTCTAACCTTTTTTGTTGAGGTGATTTGTCTTCGTGAGTTTTGTCTGGTTTCATTCTTTTCTTTTGTCCTATCTCTTCTCTATGCTGTTTTCGTTTGGTTCCTAGAAATGAAACATGATTCACAAACACAGTGGTTCCAATGAGCTGTACTGCATTTTACGAACAAATTTACATCACTTTGAAAATCATATCCTTATCTATCACCATTCTAAACCTAAACCTACCTTTTTTGACATCGCTGGTGTCCATACGAGTATCATCATTACTCTGATTATTCTGATTTGAGTATGTCTGGGCATATACCTTTACAAGACTCTTACAGGTCTCTACGCATTTCAAAACGTCCTCCAAGGTGCCATTTTCACGTTCAAACATCAACCAATCGTCCACAATAGCCTGTTGCCATTCTGTACAAGCACTCAGAGCTCTTTTGTATATAGATCGTACTTGGTTCACTTCCCCATATTGCCTCTCCAAATTCGCAAATTCCAGCCATGCCGTTGCCAAACCTGAAATGCGAATCACTGATTTGAAAGAACTTTGCAAGTGAAATCTCCATAGCTACCGGTGAATCAAGTTTTTAAATTTCACTCTTTTGGGCTGCAAGAATATTTTGCAAGATGATCTCACCTTTATTAGTAGCATCACCCAGAATGCCACTCCATATCTTTCTAGCTGCTTGCATATTCTCTTTCTTAGCCAAGAGCCTAGCGTGGAATCTGGCTATTTTACGTTGCGCGTCGTGCTCCCACAATCGCTCGACAGCGTCAGAGAAAAGTTTCTCTAGCTTTGCTCCATCTTTTTCGTTTCTACGTGAATATTCCAGGTAAGATAGCCACAAGTCCAGGCATGGGCTAGGTGAAAGACTTTGGAGAGCTTGTTCAAAGCAACTGAGTTCCTGAAATTGTTTTTAATGTTTGGTAAAGAGCACGAAATATTAACATGATTATGATATATCCGAAGTGTAATAAAAACATTCAGCCCCCGAATTTTAACCCCTACAATTTTTTTTCTGAAAATGATCAGAGGCCCTGAAACGTCGAAAAGCGAAGTTCGAGCTATTTTCACTTTTTACATGTTTTTGCTTCTAGTTCCGCCGCCTCCGGACCGATTTTCAAAAGCTTTTCGTCCTTCGGATAGCAAAATTTCATCGAAATTCGAGCGGTACTTCCCAAGTCATAGGCGGTCCAAGAAGTAGCGAATAGACAGACAAATAGACGGACGGAAATGAGTGACATGGTTTTTCGTGTTTTACTCATACGTCATATATCATTCAAAAACACATTTTGGAAAACAAACATTTTCGAAAATTTTCGGAATTACAATATTTCCTCGCCCAGTAGTGTGGAAAATAAAATACGACCTAGCACAGATTTTCTTAGGGAGGCAACGAATACCTTTTTTGCTGGTTCATTTCAGCTACTATCAGTAATATTATGATTATATTTCAGTCTGTGAAATGAATTTTATGCTAAAAACTTATTCACTTTTTCAATAAATTCACCTATCACAAGAAAAAGCTTTTTTGAAAGTAAAACGTAAATGATATTTTTATAAATTTCATTATTTGAGTATTTATAGTCTAGCTGCTCATATGTATATGTTTTTCACATAAAATTTAAGATTAGAGATTTAAGATTTAAGCTGTAAAATACTCTTCAATCTTGCCCATTACAAAAAGAGTGCATTTTTAAGGCAACCCTGGCATGACAGGAAGGTAATTTCAACTTATGGAAATGATGACAAAAATTAAACAATAATAATAATCGTCCTTATCTAAACTGTACAATTTCATTCAGGGATAAACGAATTCGAATTAAAATAGACGAACTTTTCGGCTTTTAGCCTCACCGAACTGTTTCTTAACACCGGCTGCTGTTGTCCTTTCAAGTGATAGAACTGATACATCAAATAGTATCTCTTAGCTCATCTTGGTTCTCAATCAAGTAGGTTTCAATAAACTTTAGCTTTGAGAAGCTTTTCTCAATAGAAGCCGTAATGACTGAAATTGTAAGCATGTTTTTGAATGCATTTGGATATACTTCTTCCAAAATGATTTTCTAAAATGTACTGGATAATTTGTTTTGCGTCATTGACAGAGTCTGATGAACTGAATTTAAAAAGCTGGAGGTATTCATATCTATTCCCAAAGTATTGTACCTAAGTCGTTATAATGCTTGATACAGATTTCACGAGCACATATTCTCTCGGAATTATGACGTTGATTCGAGATCACAGCTCCTTGAAATGAGGTAATACCATCGTTTCAAATAGGAACAAAGCATATCATAGCCACGACCCTCCAGTCAGAGCACGTCTTTTAGTGTGAATTCAATTTTCTTATGGCCATTTCTGCTTTGACATTTTCGTAGCACACTAAAATTTCTTTGTTGTTTTGTGGTTTCTGATTACGTTTGATTTTGTTGTATGTTTGAATTGTTTTGGATTTGCAGTTTGAATAGTAGAGGAACTAAACGTAAGTTCACACAAGGGATAGTACTCACAAAAACTATTTTCTTCTAAAAAAGGTTATCCACACAAGAATCACGAAACTGACCTTTACCATCGCTGGCAATAAGCTCCTTATCTATTAGCTCATTAGGCTCTACAAAACCAAAAAAAAAAACACATCGATTTATCGATGTTTATCTCTACGTTGTTAGCATATCTAAACAGAAATTATAGACGACTCGGGGATTTCCAGAGCATCGCGCGCGGTATAGTTGATTCAAATTAGCGACATTGGATTCCATTTCTTTTAGACCTAGGATTGCCCAGTGGCAAAAAAATTGGATATTTTTATAACTTTCTTGCAAGGCCTAACGCCGCCACTGAATATTGCTGGCTACTTGCACCTAGATAATGCAGTAAAAATATTGCCCATTCTGAAGCACCATAAGCTATATCAAGGAATTACACTCAAAATATGTATCATGAAGAATTCACCTCCTTATTGTCTCTCTGTAACCACTCCATAACGCGCAATTTCCAAATCCATAGCTCCTCACTCCAAGGACAGTTCCGCAAAGCTCTGTCACTCACTTTGAGTGCCGCATCACCCAACTTTATGACATAAGCACAATACTGCGCCCATATGTTTGGCGACAGGCACAACGGCAACACTGCACGCTCGTACAAGCAAATTACTGTTGAGGGATCCTTTACTATCTAAAAACATTCAGACAAATAATAGTATCTCAAAAGTCATGAAATATTTTGCTGGATGAATCATATGTTATACTTTAATGTTATCTATAATGACTAACCTTGATATATTCTCGATAGATAACGTCAAATTCCTCAGTCTGTGCGATCAAAAGTCGTTCCTCAAAGGGCTTATAGTCGCCCAAGATTTTTCGCGCCTTTTTGTAACCCCACTCTACGGGCTTAGGGTCATATAGACCATCTGGTAAAGTTTTGTGCCACTGTTGCCATTCTTCGTAAGTGTTTTCTATATTCATCAGTGGAACTGACAGCTGTCGTTTAAAAATGTCACCTAAGCGTTTTACTTGGGCAGTCCACGCCGCAGAGCCTTAAAAATTATTGCAATTAGATGAAATTGTCTAAAACGTAGCTCAATCACTGAATGGAATATAAGCAAATGTTTTTAAGCCTCTAGCAATCTAGCTCACAACACATCCTTTGAGCAAAGGTGTGTAAAGCTCTACTTTTTTGTTTCAAGTATTTTGTACCTCCGGTCAAATTTACAAACCTTTTTCTTGTAATGATATATGAGCATTTTCTAACTCCCTCAAAGTATCCCATAACAGATGGCCCTCACTAGCATGTAAACCTGCGCATGTCAAACCACGTTCAATGATCGAACGTGTGGTTTCTAGATTGCTCACGCCTATAGAGTACTGTGCATACTCCGTCCATAGTTCTACAGCTAAAATTAGCGAAAATTATGAAGTTTAAAGTGAGTGAAAAAATATTGACAGCAGAAACAAATGTTCATTTCTACGAAATAAAACAGCGAGCACCAATGCCTAATTTTATTACTTCAAAAGTAAACACAATAGGTGATTCATATCTAATTTCATAGAATAAACGAGTATTTCTTACATATTTGGCTTAGGTAAACGAAATTTATCGATTTGCATATAGAGCCCAATTTAAAAAAAAAATAGTTTTTTTTTTTAATATGAAATGGAATAGGCCATGATGTGACGTCATACACATTGTAAACAAAGAAATATCATCCGTATGTCACGCGTGGAGTGGAGTTGCCTTCTTTAAGTATTTCTAAAAAAAGGCAATTATAGATGTTGTATTCGTAAAAGCAGAAGCACAAATTTGCCGAAAATTGGCACATTGATGTGGGGAATTTTGAAATATTACCAGATAATCCGCTGTTATTCTACGTTTTGGATACTCGTGAAATATTTAATTCCCTGGGACTCTGATCCCCAGCTTTCCTGAGGTCTTTATCCATGTGTTTTTACATTATGGAACGATACAATAACGATAATTACTATATTTTTCATGTAAATTAGTAGGAGTTATGTTTATATGTTCAAAAGTTTGAGAGGTTATGCTGCTGTCAGCTGTTGTTTACACATGGTATGACATCATAACGCCTTAATGTAGATCAAACATGGGGGACAGCATTTTTGCTTGATTAAGAAAACATATTTTTTTAAATTAAAGCTTTGCAGCCTTTAAGCTCTGAAAAAAATATACTATTAATTTTTTTGTTTTAATAGATATACTAAATATTTAAGACCTAGACCTATTTAAAAAAGTGTCAGCTAAGTACTAGTGGTGGTTCAGTAGAACAAACTGAAGAATTCCCATATCCCGAGAGTGACACCTGCCTATCCTCTTTAAAAAACTCCAATATCAAGTACTCATAGGTCGATTGCCATAATAAATAGTATCATGACGTTGGAATCTCAGTTCTCTTTGCAAAATAAAAGCATTAGGGATCTTCTAATCTGTAGTGATATTGAAAAAATATACCCTTTTTGATAAAGCCATTCTGCTTTCTACCTGAAAGGTCAGAGGACTAATGAGACCTTTTCTTGAGTCATATTATTAGTTTAGTCTGTTTGGATAAAGCACAACAGCAGACTGTTTTTGATGTGCAATAAATACTGTTTTTTATCATCTGTTATGTGAAAAATTACCTATCAATAGAAGTGTAACATAGAAAGAACCAGCTCTTATCATCTCTTCCACATAACTAACAAATCAGAAAAAAAAAATCTTAGACCAACCCGCACAGACCTAGAGACTGCTTTCTGTTATAAGTAAAGTAATAGAGAGGTGCATGAATTGGGAGCAGCGATCCACGAAGGACCTGCTAGCTTACATCATGCAACTATGGAGTAAGCTCATCCGGTCTTATGATAGGGATTATGCCTTTGCCCTTGATATCACCAAAGTGTTTGATCAGTTGTGGCATGCTGCCCTCTTATGTAAATTTCCATCATGGCCTCCCAGAGAACCCTTGCAGATGGTGGCTGAGTTCCTCTCTAATTGACAGGTGCTCCTCTTCATCCCATTATGTCAACGTGGGTGTTTCCCAGCGATCAGACTTGCTCAGACATTGTTCCTCTTACATATTAACAACCTCATTTCCCATACAATCAACAGCTTTGCTGATAACAGTACTCTAAATGCAGGAATTAAGAGTGACAAGAAAATCTCTGTCAGTAGGCTGGAGAAAAGGAGACTATATAGTAAAAACATTACACAGCCATAAGCACCTTATAAAATCTAAAAAGGTATGCTTATAAGAACCACTTGAGTATCAGCTTACAAGTTGTCTAACTATAAGAAAAAAGATACTGATGAAATTAAAAATGGTTTTCCTCAAAGACCTATTCCAACACCAAATTTATTCATAACATATATAGATGATGCTTTCAGTTGAAGAACTGTTTAAGTTTAAGATGATTCCAAATTTTAAAGGGTCAGACTCTGTTGATAAATATTAACTGACTGCTAACCAAGACAAAAAACGCTTCAAAATGGAACAGAAGTAATATCAATAAGTTGGCTTTCCTTCAACTAAATTAAGAATTTATTATTTAAGTTTTGTACGATAAACTCACACAAATAATCTTCAACCGCTTTGTCAAAAATCTGGAAAACCCTCTTTTTCTCCTCCTCACTACTAGCTATTTTGATTTCATCTCTGATCCAGTCTAGCCATATCTTTGGTGTGAGTGGAAAACATTCGTGAAACCTCTCATAGGACTCCCGTAAAGAATTGAGATCTCCTAGTTTTCTGTATAGTTCAACTAATTCCAAGTGAGCATCGTAGAGGTATTTGTTAGCAGATATCTGTTTCTCTAGCTCCTCTACTTTTGCCATAAGTTCCTGCAATGTTTCAATTGTTGGTTAAAAGGCTGTTTCATATTATTCACTGTTAAATCAAACCTTATCTTCATCGTCACTGCTAGATTCTGTATTAGAATTTCCTTGCTCATCGCTCATGTTTGCATCCATGTCTTTTTCTTCGTCAGACATAGTTTTTATGGGGCTTCAAATTAAAATAAGACCTGGGAAACTCACTGAACGTTTGTTACATTAGCTTTTTTTATAATTGTCTCAGTATTGCATTTAAGTTTCGTATTCCTGCTTTTCCCCTGTTTGTTTTATTATGCTTATTTATGGATATACACTGCTTATGTTGTTTGAAGAGCACCTGTCAAGAAATCATAAAACAATTTTTTGATTGCTTGTTTCTTGTTTGATTGTTCAAAAAATTGTTCCAAGTTTGCACATCTGAACTAGAGTTTCATTCTCATCACTCAAACAGGATAAGTATCTGTATGCCGCCATTTTCATACAACTGTTGTCTAACCGTGGTTTGCACAGAACTCTGGATTTTATGTCAAATTAATGGTATACATTATACAATGAATAAAGTGAATCGTAGATAAAGGTCTCTATTATTTATCCAAATACAAATATGCAAAAAGAAAGAGGAAATAAAACGAGTTCTTAGTTCACTGGCATTCCATCTTCCATCAATTCCATGTTTTTCCCAAGACGGATCTTGTCATGGTTGTCATTTGTAGGTCATAAAATGTCAATGTCAAGACATATGTCATGCTGTCATGTTCAAGTTGTATGGTTATGGTATTTGAACTCATTAAGTAAATCCAAATGTATTTTTGTGATTGAACTTTGTTGTTACAACATGTAAATTGCATTATATTTAACTATTAACATTACAATAATTGTCCATTTGAAAAGAACAAGGCTAAAGGTGAATAGCTGTTTTACATTTTTATTGTGATTTAACACAGTTTCTAATTTTATATTCCATTCAAATGGGTAATGTTATTGGTTTCAGCATGTTTACCCTTACAGTACGAACACTTTTAAGAAGATGTGTAGGCAGAGGTTTTGCAAGTTCTCTAGCAATGTCCAAAGAGCAAACACCTCTTGTCGATGCTGTCCAAGCAGGTTCTATGGGAGAGAAGTGTTTCTTGGTTGATGAGAATGATAAAATAATAGGACAGGCTTCAAAAAAGGAATGCCATTTCGTAAAAGAAGATGGGGACATTCCTCTGCATAGAGCATTCAGTACTTTTTTGTTCAATAAGAAGGGGGACCTTTTACTTCAAAAGAGGTCCGATACAAAGGTAAGATTCATTATTTTTTTTACCTTACCACATTCACTGAGTATTTATTTAGATATTATTAACATTACCTCAAAACAGATCAAGTCTTGTGAGCATTTATGGTAATTGTAATGAAGCTAATATTTTAGGCTTCTGAAGACTATCATAACAATATCAGGTTATTTTATTTTAATGAGAAAACTGAGAAAACAATTAGCTTTAACTTTTTTATTCGAAGATTCAAGTTTCAGATAGCTTTCCAATAGCTAGCTACAAATCTGTTTCAAACCACATTTCATTAAATTGGCACCATCCTTTATTTATAGTTTATTTATTGTGCCTCCATATTATAGCAACTGTATTAATTTTCCCTTAATTCATTTTGATAATTAAAAAACAACTTTTCAATTATTTCATTTCAAATTTTGGGTCATCTATAGACTTTACAACACTTATGATAGGTTCAGTTTTTTACTTTCTCTTCCAACTATGACAATGATTTCTGTTATATATAGATGAATATAATAATTTTTGAACAGAAATATCAACCCTTATGACTTAATAAAGTGTTAGAATATTTAATAAAATTATTTGTAATCTGGGATATTTAATCATAATTTTTTTGATTCAGAGTGTTAAATTTTTTCCTGCTATTTGATTTATCAAAACATATTTTATCAGGCTCACCATGACATAACACTATATAAATAATAAAAGTCCAAAGATCAAGATGGTATAATAGTTATGAATATTTTGAGCTTGAAAGATAAGTTCTACTTATGGTACCTTTAGTTGATCTGGGCCATCTGAAAAAACTTATATGTTGTGGCTTGTAACAGGGCAATCTCATTGGTGTCTATGTATAACACATAAATAATATAACTCACTATAAAACATACTGATCATTCATACAATTTCATTTCTCCAAAAGTTAAAACTAGAAATTAGTTTCTGTTGGACAACTTTGAATGGCATAACTTTGATATAATTATTCTTTGATGCAATGCATGCCAACTAAATCTTCACAAATTTCTGTCCTTATAAACTGGATTATAAACTTATTCATTATTCCAACATCTATTCTGTGTGATGTTGCATGTAACATTTATGTGTTATAGATAACTTATCCCAACCATTATACAAATACATGCTGTAGTCATCCTGTAGCAGATTTTCCTGGAGAAGATGAGGAGCAGAATGCTATAGGTATAAAAAGAGCAGCTAGAAGGCGGTTACATTATGAATTAGGTAAACAACCTACAAAGTAATAATTATACTATAGTGGGCGAATTATTTTAAAGTCAGTATATTTTATGGCACTTTGACATATACGTCAAACATTTATAGCTAGATTCACGAAATTTCCGAAACAATTTTGCTTGTCAGTTTCACTATTTTTAGCAATTTAAGATAACAATATTATATGGAATTGCAGAGTTCTATGTCATATGGGACATTTAGATGTTGATTAGTAAAGAGTATGAAATGAAACTCTAATTCTGTTTAAGGTATTCCATTGGACAAGTTACCTCTAGAAAGTTTCAACTACATAACACGGTTGTACTACAAAGATGAAGGGAATGGAAAATGGGGTGAACATGAGATTACTTATGTACTTTTCATTCAAGCTGATGTAAAGGTGAGAAGATAATACTGTACACTACTATTTCTAACGAATATTGAAAACTCTAATCTGACAATACTTTTGATTGTCATAAGGCAGAAACATATTATTGTATTGTCATATGAACCTCGCCTTAATTTGTGAAGTGATAAATTGACTGAAGGATTAGTGCGTGAGTGACAATAACATATTGTAACAAAAACACAGTGTTTACTTTTTAAAGTCTTATTTATTACTTTTACACTCATTTATAACCACACTCGCAACTAATTCATGACTTTATAACAATGTTGACTGGACTATCGCGCTGTTACTGATTCATCGCACGTTGTCGGTCTGACTGACTGCTTCCGCCATCTGGTCGGGTATTTAACTTCAATCGATGAATTCCAGAAGCCTTCCAGCGCTTTACCGAAGTTAACTGAATGTCGATTTATGCTTCTCGCTGGCGGTAGATGCTTCCCGAACGTGAACTCGATCACTTACGTATTCTGGGTGCTAGGTATACCGCTCTTGATACACGGCGGCGTATCTGGTTGCCTAAGTGGTGTTTCTGGACGACTGTCAAATCTTCTGGTCGATGTACGAGGGTGTCTCGCTGGTACCCGATATGCCAGTTATACGAGAGCATTACAATATTTCTATTTTTTGCATATGCTAACGTATGGTGTAGCTCATGAAGTTTTTTGATATGACAATAATGTGTTTCCACTTACACACGATTTTATTTTTTGTATTATTTTTACTATCTCTAACGTAATTTTCAGGTGAAGCCTAATTCCGACGAAATATCAGAGATTAGTTTTGTACCTAGGTCTGAGCTAGACGAATATGTACCAACTTTAAGTGGTCCTTTAACGCCATGGTTCCAGCTCATATTGAAACATCGACTGAGATTGTGGTGGGATCACTTGGACAAATTGGATGAAATTAAGGATCATGAGCATATTTTGAGATTTGATAAGACGAAATAGTGAACATAAATTTCAAACACAACATGGTTCTCGAATAATTATTCTTCTAAATATTAAACATTGTTTATTTCTTTGTATTTATTTGCAGTCCAACGTTTATATTCGTAATATATAATTCATAATATCTTAATTGTTTTTGAAACAATTTGCAACCAGGAAAATGGAAAAAACACTGCTAAGTGATTATCGAGAGTTGAAGGTTATCCATTTAACTCTCACGATAAACAGATTACTAAAAGACTGGGTTGTTTAGTTGAGTTACTCTGTCAGCCAAATGAGTAACTATCAAGGTTGAAATTAAACTAATTCTGTTATGATTAAAAACAATTCAGAATTCCTATCAAAGTAGTTCATCGAATATGGAAAAATAACTAGATATACAAATTAGATAAGTTGTATAAGAACAAGAAATGGAGAGTTTCTTTATGAAAGAATTAGTGAGATGTTAAAGGATGCTAAATTGATCTATAATGCAGTCATTGTGTTACCAAGAATCTAAATAGCCACTCTATGAATGATTAGTGGAATCATGACCAGAAAGAAATTGAGAATTTAAGCGCTAAAGAACATAAAAAGTCTATTACTTGGAAACTTAAGTACAGAACTGAGTAACTGCTCTTCCCGAACGATCGTTTTAGACCGAGAGAACCGACAGATGGTCATTCATTCAGTGGTGTCGTATTTAAAAGGGGCAATTTTAGAATATGTACAATCAGATCGACAAACGATTTTCTGTATATTATTTGATGAGCTATTTTATCAAACACTTACCAGTTCGACAGATGGAGAGTTGGACAGTCGTTAACGTTAAAGTGAAAGCAAACCGATACTCTTCCAATAAAAACCTCGCTTTCGGCTGTCATTTACTTGATGTTTTGAATCTCTATTACAGTTGAATATTTCATTACATTACATCTCTAATCAAACAAATGTTTAACTTCTATATTTTTGTGTGATTATGTGTCCCTATAAGACGCTTTCCCCATTCTCAGGATACATTTTTTGCTATAAGGCTGTAAACTTTATGGGTTGTGGTGGCTCAGTCCACTCGCAGATATCGTGACACCTATTTCATTATGGAAACTGTCCAATTATTTTCTTATAAAATGCACAGATGGGTCTCCATCTTACACTCTTCACACTTCATCGGTAATTGAGGTTACATAAAAAATGCCGAAAGACACGCTTTTGTCTCAGTCATATGTGGAATCTGTTGCAACCTTCCAGACTCTGAAGGTGCACGTTCATTGTGGGAAGGGAAGAGAAAACGGAAGCAAGCGGCTCGTCCTCTGGATTCCGGTGCACATAATCAAATGGAGCAACGTGAAAGGAAGCGACGTATCATATTTAACACGTGCAAATGACGAATGTTTTTGAGTGCTACGAATTTTTAGTTGATATAGTGTACTGAAAAAAAGAAAAAAGATCATCGATTCGAAAAAAAATAATTGAAAAATCATAAAGCATTTAATATATTTATGAACAGATTAGTTTATCCTTTTTTTCGACGACAACTTCACACGGCGACTTGTTGCAAACTTGGTTTCCATCACTGTCAACACATCTGCAAACTCCTCTTCTGCATTGTATTGGTTCGTAATTGCCTGTATCTTTGTTACATGTTGGCTTTTCAGCACTGGAAATTATGCTAGTTGCCCTCAAGCATTCTGAAATACATATTTTTAAGATATACAGATGAACATATTGCAGCATATGGCCCGGCTATATATTTATGTATATCTCGAATATATCTTGACAATATTGTTGCAATACAGTTGTCAGAATTTGTCATTAGACGGATTACAAGATGGGCAAGAACGGCTGAGGAAATCAAATATGCGAAAATATGGTATATTACAAATATCAAACATGCCTAGCTTATGTAGCCAAACCATACTAAAAAGATTGACGTATTTTGCTTGCTACTCTATTCCAGCTGGATAATTTAGTAAAAAAATTTCCAGAACCGGCATTCTACATTCTTGTTAAAATAAAAGAAAAGACAGTACTTACTGCAATCCATTTTTTCTGCTAGTGGATCAGTTTTGAGGATAACTGTTAAAATAGTTTTGTCCTTGTCGACGCACATTTTGCTGAAATATATAAGTTATGGTATAAATCAAGATGAAATAGCTGCTTATTAAGATCGATACATCAATGGGCTTTGCTCCTCAGAGCTCTCCTTCGAGATGCCTTCGCGCGATGTGCCTGCTTGACAGACCCGCCTGACTTCGTCCTATCTTAACCGTACCGAACTTTGTACATGCAGAACTGGCCGATACGACCGCTTCATTGCACTACAAGAGGGGGCTATTCTCAGTTCTACTAACAACAAAACTGCGTCAAGTTTCAAAAATTGCTAGTTAAATGAGCTTTCCAAAAATGTACTAAACGTCAGTATGAAAGTGCTCAAATGCTAACAAATAATCAATCAATCAAATTTAGATCAAATAGTAGTCATTTGACTAATTGACAATTGTAATATTTCAAATGAATGTGAATCGTGCTCAAAACGAGCCTCTTATATGCTAATGGAGTACTGCTTCGAATTTTCAGCTTGTGGTTGGGTAAAATATTTACCACCGTGTTTTCGATAACTTCTTAATAGCTCGACAGACGCAAAAAATCTGCATGATCAATGATTCGCATACAGGGATATCCTCTCGCATGGTTTTGTACAGTCGCTGCTGAGGCACTCCGAAAATGTTAACATTGCCTTCAAAATGTGCTACGGGGTTATCAAGGAGCTTAATTACCAGTAACCCTGTATAAACTGCCTAGATTATGCTACCGGTATAACCTACATGTTGTTTGGCCAAGTTTTTTTTTATAATATTTAATTAATCGATTAATACGATAAAAATTGCAAGACTTACTGTGTGGCATTTTCTTGGACAGCCTTGTATGTTCCATCTATATCGCATCTCGGAAAATTGTAGTTAAATATCTCGTTAAACCCTGTTTGTTTCTGCAGACAGTTCATTTTCTCCAGAGCTTGCAAATACTCCCTTTCACAGGTTTTGTAATATTCGCCAGACCTCAAATCTGAATCTACAAACAAAATACGAGGTGTCCTAAAAATCCATATCACTTCGACTTTTTGTTAAATTAAGGTTCATGTTTTTTATTCATAAATTACGAAGTCATATAACAAATCAAGAAACAAATTCTTGAAAACGAGGGAGTAAATAATGCTACTTCTCGAGGCTTTTTCTGTCAGCTTCTAACGTTCACCAAATATAAATTGTAAACACATCAACTTTCAGTAAAAAGTATATACACATATATGTATGTTCATATAAGATTTTCGAAATTAACTTCGACTTTAGAGATGAGACTGATAGGCAATGGCGAATGTCAAAACCTTGCAAAATCTCATCATATATCCTCTAACCAAGTTATTCAATCAGTGTATAGAAAATAATACTTTTCCGGATTTTTTCAAACTATCTAAAATTATACCCATTTTCAAACAAGGGGATACTGAAGAGTTATGCAATTACAGACCCATTTCCTTAATACCTATTTTTGCGAAAATTTTGGAATCATTGTTGAAAGATCAAATTAATGAATACTTTGTGGCTAATAATTTATTTTGCTCAACACAGTTTGGTTTTAGGAAAAATAGTTCCACCAGATCAGCTAACAGTTTTATTCAGTTTGTGAACGAGACTTTTGAAAACAACCTATATGGCGCAGCATGTTTGTTGGACTTGTCCAAAGCTTTTGATTGTGTTCAACACGACATCCTGTTGGAAAAGCTCCCTTTTTATAACTTTCATGAAGCATCCACTGCAATGATTAAATCTTACTTGAGTAATCGACGCCAATTTGTATTCTTTAAAGGTTCATCATCCTCGCAGTTAGTCGCTGCTCACGGGGGACCGCAAGGCTCGGTATTGGGACCTATTTTGTTTTTAATTTACGTCAATGATATGACTAACTATAATGTGAATAATAACTTAATCCTATTCGCTGATGACACTACCTTGATGAATAGCAATGCCTCTTTAGCCTCATTGATATTCGACTATGAGGCTCATAAAAGAAAATTAGCAAACAGGTTAACCGCTAATAAGTTGACCATCAATGAAACCAAGTCTCAGATGATTATTCTTAGCTTGAGGCAGCACGACACTAATACACTAAAGTCTGTAAAGTTACTAGGAGTCTACCTTGATGAACACTTGTCGTGGGAAACTCGCGTAATCCATGTTCTCGATGCACTAGAAAAATATATATATTTGATAAGGAACTTGAAACAAAATGCCTCACAGTCAGTTCTTCTTCTAACATATTATTCCTACTTTCAATCAAGAATTTCATACGCATTGTTAAACTGGGGTCACTCGGCCCATTCGTCAAAAGTTTTTGGATTACAACGACGTTGCTTGCGGTACATTGCTGGCCTCAAATACACGGAACCTTGCAAGGAAGCTTTTATAGAATTGAAAATCATGACAGTACCTTCTCTTTACATCTTCACATGTCTGATGTATATAAAGACTAACCTGAGCCAATATACTACCCATAGTGATGTCCACAGTTATAGAACCAGAAATATGGATAACATCTTAGTACCTCATAGCCGTCTCCAAACCATCAGGAACGGCACAAACTATTATGGGATAGTTTTTTATAACCTGTTGCCAGACCGTATAAAGAAACTGGATGCGAAACTTTTTAAAGATAAAATTAATGCTTATCTGACTACTAAAGCATTATACTCGATCAACGAGTATTTGAGCAATAATTTTTCAGACTTGTCGGATTGTTAGCAAATATAGCAGTGTTCCTACACCTGGGATCCTCTAGGCTCCTTGAACTTTCTACTAAGTCATCTGGTAAATTTTTGTATCAACATTTCATATGTCTTACCATTTTAACGTATATATATATATATATACGTATATGTGTGTGTGTAGAAGTAAACATACGCATTGTGGTTAAATGAATATGCGTGTATCTATGTACGTATATATATCCTCCTGTTTTTACAACTTATATGGACTTGCTGTATCTGCTTTTATTGAATCATAATGTCATAAGTTGATGTTTTTCTGTCTAATTTGAACATCAGTCTTTTGTCAGACTGCTTTTTGTAATGATTTTTTTTTCTTTTGACTTGTG